TGGAGACATCGTCCGCGGCTTTGTGAAGAACGTCGCAGACAACGGCGTCTTTGTTCAGCTTGGAGGCAGCATCTCTGCTCTGGTGAAGATCGCCAACCTGTCTGACCGTTATATTAAGGACTGGAAGGGCAGCTTCCAGGTCGACCAGCTGGTCAAGGGTCGTGTCATCAGCATCGACACTGCTATCAACAAGATCGAGTTGAGTCTCAAGGCCTCTGTCGTCGAGAACGACTACACCCCTCCTATCACATGGAAGGATATCAAGGAGAGCCAGATCGTCACCGGCAAGGTTCGCAAGGTGGAGGAGTTTGGTGCTTTTATTGTCGTTGACAACTCAACAAACGTCAGTGGTCTGTGCCACCGCAGCGAGATGGCGGAGAAGCCTGTGGAAGACGCCCGCAAGCTCTACAACGAGGGCGATGTTGTCAAGGCGAAGGTCATCTCTATTGATGACGAGAAGCGACGTATTACTTTCAGCCTGAAGCCGAGCCACTTCGACGAGGACAGCGACATGGATGATGTTGACGGAGGCGCCGAGCTCGACAGCGATGATGACTCGGATGTTGATATGGGCGAGGGCGTTCAGTTCACGATTACCGGAACGGACAACATGGATGATTCTGATGAGGAGGAGGGTTCTGATGCCGAGGAAAGCGATGTCGAGATGGAGGAGGCGCCCGCGAAGGGCAAGGGTCTCAGCGCCGGCAAGTACGACTGGACAGGCGACGCTTTCGACGACGAGGAGGAACCAGCCGAGGGCAAGAAGTCCAAGGCATCTGAGAAGAAGGAGAAGAAGAAGGGAGGCGAGATCCAAGTCGACCGCACTGGCGACCTCGACGCACACGGTCCCCAGACCGCGACCGACTACGAGCGACTTCTGCTGGGTCAGCCTGACTCGTCACAGCTCTGGATCGAGTACATGGCGCTGCAGATGAAGGTCAGCGAGCTCTCCAAGGCTCGCGAGATCGCCGAGCGTGCCATCAAGACCATCAACATCCGCGAGCAGACCGAGAAGCTCAACGTATGGATCGCCTACCTCAACCTGGAGGTTGCCTACGGCACCAAGACTTCCACCGACGAGGTCTTCAAGCGTGCGTGCCAGTACAACGATGAGCAGGAGGTCCACGAGCGCCTGGCCAGCATCTACATCCAGTCCGGCAAGCTCAAGGTAAGAAAAACACTCCCCCAAAGACATACAACAAGAACCAAGGCTAACGCATCGGGTTACAGCAAGCGGACGATGTCTTCCAATCGCTCGTCAACAAGTTCAAGTCAAAGTCCCCCGACGTGTGGGTGAACTACGCCCACTTCCTGCACGTGACGATGAACGAGCCCGACAGGGCGCGCGCGCTCCTCCCCCGTGCGACGCAGGCGCTCGAGCAGCGCCACACCGCGCAGCTGATGGCCCGGTTCGCCGCCCTCGAGTTCAAGTCGCCCAACGGCGACGCGGAGCGTGGCCGCACGACGTTCGAGACGATATTGGCGACGTGGCCGAAGCGGTTCGACTTCTGGGGCCAGCTCATCGACCTCGAGCTCTCGGCCGCGGAGCCGGACGCCACGGCCATCAGGGACGTCTTCGAGAGGGGCACCAAGGCGAAGGGCCTCAAGGCCAAGAAGGCCGAGAAGTGGTTCAAGCGGTGGGCCGACTGGGAGGAGAAGCTCGACCCGAAGGGCCGGGAGAAGGTGATGGCCAAGGCGAAGGAGTGGGTCGCGGCCAAGAAGGTGGCGGCGGCTGCGGCGGCGGCTGCGGAGGAGGAAGAGGACGACGAGTAAGAATACTTTGATTTGAAAAGGAAAAGTTCTTTGGGCGGTAATGAAAAACAACATGCATGAGGGGGTTTTGGCCAGCCTTGTCGGCCCCCTCCTCCTTGTCACCCTCGGATTAGACCGGGGTATTTTTTTTATGTGTCAAAAATATCAGTTCACATTTTCAACGGCATAATGATTACTACGGGCATGTGTGATGCATCTGCAAGAAACCAATAGCACCAGGGCAGCTGACTCTTGGCCGCTTCGCGCATACAGCTCACCTAGGTACAGCTCTGCTTTACCTGCTCAGCCCGCCTCCAAGAGGTTTAGCGCCGTGGGTTGGGTGAGGACTTTGCCTGGCCTGCGAATCCCCGAGATCGACGCCGGGATCCATATTGTTTCCCTTCTTGTTCCAGCATCGCACCGGCGGAGCCACAGTCTTGACAAGCTTCGATTCAGAGTCGCATTGAGATGATGTGAGATCTGAGGCCGTCTTAGACGACTGCTTATGTTAGGTTAGGTACCCTACGGAATATCAGGCATCCAAACTGGAGTATTTCCAATCATTCCGTCGTGAGGTTCACATCGCCGGTGATTTCTCTGCCCATGGCGAAAACAATCGGGCTGTTCAGCGTGGCATGGCAACAGAAGCTTGGCCGATACTCACAGCTGTCTATCGATAGTCCATCAGCCCAGAAATCACAACAGCTGCAGCCCTCGGTCTTGAGTTGAGCCAGGCTTACCGGCCTGCCCTGCCCTGCCCATGTAGCCGACCAGATGACTGGATGCGCGACGGTGAGGCGGGATCCTGGTGACCTAATGAGATCGATGCTGGTTCGATGCAGCTGGAGGGATTCCCATGCGCCACAGCTGAAAATAGGTCATGCCCCAATTGGGGAAACACACCACATCATACATGTTTGGGCTTTGCTTACGACATCTTCTATTCTTTCTTTTTCTTCAAAGTGTTCTTTTTATTTTCCGACGAACTTGGTGTTTCCAGGCACCAAAAATGGCATTCTGGAGAGTTTACTCACGTTCGCATGAACAAAGCCCAAGTTCTGGCGCACACTGCCTGAACCCTTTCAATCCTTCGGGATGAACCACCGGCATCGAACCAATCAAGATGTGTATGCAAACAAGACTCGGTCGGCCGAGGAACAGGGGCGACAAACAAACCAGCCCGGCGGTACCTGCATCGCATCCACAAACCGGAGGCTCGTCCGATGCTGTGGACGTGGGGATGGATGCCAAAGCATAATAAACAATTGGGTCGCCGTAAAAAGAAGCAGCTGAGTTTGAGATCCCTCGTGGCGTGGGGTCGCACCAGTACACCAGCCAGCATCACAGGGCAAAGACATTCCATCCTTTCACCTGCGGTCCGTGTCTCTGATCCGCCGCCGTACCCCTTTTCTCCCGTTTATCCTCCTGTCTCTGCCCTACCGGACCCCTGGGAGACAAGACAGGACAGGGCACACCATGATGTGCGGTAAAATGAGCAGATAATGACAAGAGCTCGTATATATGCGGAGTCTGACAGCTTATTCGGTTCATCCGAGCGGCGGAAAATGTGAAGCACGCCGGCAGCGAGGTGAGCCGTCCGTATTCACCTCCTCGACGCTCCGCTCCGCCCCCAGCATCGAATCGTGAAAATTCGGATGCAGATGCCTCAGCTTTTTCGGTTTCGCTGCCCCAATCAGGGGTTAAGGAATGGTCAGAGACTGGGAGTTTCCAGCGGACTCACCTGCCAGCGCATTGGAGGCGTTCAATAGCGTCAGGCGGGTGGTCGATGCGGGAGAGTTGACACACCGCAAACAAGCAAAAATGCATCTCGAAGGAAAACACAGAGAGAGGGACAGAGAGCATCAGCATTCTTTCAGCCAATCAGACCGCAAGATCCCGACGCACCGCTTTCTTTATTTCCCCAATAAGCTCATCCCGCCGTCACGGACGCACCAGCCCTTTTGCAGCCTAGGCAACGGTGTGTCTTGGGGGTGTGTGGGAAGAGGAGAGAGGTCTGACGGCTTACCTACCAGCTTTCTTAGTCTGACTGTTCTGACGGGAGGAGCTGTGCGCCCCCTTTTCTTCTCTGCATCGTATGTATCTTGAATGTTTCCCTTTGGGAATAAGACCCCTGCTGGTGGCGCCGGACATGCAGAAGAAGCTTAAACGCTCCCACTCATCCAATCCCCACCCCGATCCCGCGCCGTCAATCTTGGCATGGCAGCCAAGTGGTGCGCGATACGAGACTTTGGGCCGACTGCACGGTGAGACAAGGGGATTATCTGCTACGGCCAAACAACAGACGCCTGCGGTGCTGTTATGCTTCTTCTGCCCTTGCCGCCTTATGGGGGTGGTACTTGGTACTCCATGTAATGTTGAGTCTATTGTTAGGAGACAAGCCCCGGCTTAGCGCGCGTTGCATTGCAGATGCGGCTATTGCTAGCATGGGGCTCTTTTCTTCCTTCCGATTGCTCATGATGTATTTCTGCTTAACCTGCTCTTTCTCCATGTCAGACTGTCGTGTGTTTCCTACCGGCCGACGAATCACGGCCGAGGGATACATGCTGATGCTGGTGAGGCGGATGATGGGAGGCGCGCAGCCCGGGCAGCGGGCTTGATGCCTAGGGTCTAAGCTGGGGCGCTAAGGAGTGATATGCTTCTTGCTCCTTTGCCTGCGGTCCGGGGGTTTTCGCTGTCACTTCTTTTTGCGTTTTCTTACCTGGAGCTAGCGGGTTGCTATTCGAGAAGACGGCTGAGACATACGACCGGGTTCTTCTTGGCACAGCTGGAAGGTGTGCGGTGCGGTGCGCCGGCGGCGGCCTGTCGCTCCATCCACCATCTCACTCTCTCGTGTCCGGGGGAGATCTTAGTAGAGCTAGTTGAACGCGAAAGTGTTTTGGCGTCGGCTTAGACTCAGGAACGGGTGAGGCTAAGAGGCTCGTCCCGAAGGAAGCAGGCATGCACGTTCCGATTTTCGAGCTGTTATGAGTTGGTTTGTGGTGTGTCTGAGGCCTCTGGGATATGGTTACCTCAACTAGATAGTAGGATTGTGATGGATGGCCGTATCTTGGCAGAAGGGATATAAGGAATCGTCGTCTTCTCCCTCCTCGACGATGATTCCTGTCTCTTCAGCAGTTCAAGCTCCTCTTCCATTTCTTCTTCTTCATCAAAGACCATCACAGGTCTGATCCAGTCACTACTTTCCCTTCTTCTCTTTTCCCACATTTGCTCCGTACATCTCACACAAGATGCATCTCACATCCTTCCTCACAACCTCCCTCGCCATCTCCGGCACCCTCGCCTACCCGGGCATGGGCAACCAAATTTCCGAAATCATGTCCCGCGCCTCCGACAAAGGCGACTCAACCGAGCTCCTCGGCGACCTAATCACCCTCAAAGACCGCGACCTCACCCCCGTCGGCAAGGACGTCAAGAAGCTCCTCCAGGGCAAGGGCACCCCCGAGTCCAACGACCGCTACATCCTCCCCGTGCCCGCGCTTAACTCGGACAAGTGCAAGAAGGACACGTGCTGCGTCTGGCGCTACGTCGCCGACGACATGTACCAGTTCATGGCCGGCTCCTCGGGACGCTGCACAAAGTGGGCGCGCGCCGCCGTCCGCCTCGGCTTCCACGACGCGGGCACCTGGTCCAAGGCCACCGCCTCCCAGGGCGGCGGCGCCGACGGCAGCATCATCCTGGCCGGCGACGAGATCGGCCGCTTCGAGAACCGCGGGCTGCAGGAGGTCGCCGCGCGCTTCGCGGAGCTGCACGGCAAGTACAAGGCCATGGGCTGGAACATCGGCATGGGCGACTTCATCCAGATGGGCGCCAACGTCGCGACGGTGGTGTGCCCGCTCGGCCCGCGCATCAAGACGTACGTCGGCCGCAAGGACAGCGCGAACCCCGCGCCGGCGGGCCTGTTGCCGAGCCCGTTTGCGCCCGCGGACCAGCTGATCCAGCTGTTCAAGGACAAGACAATCGGGCCTCATGGGCTGGTTGCGCTGCTTGGCGCGCATACGACGAGCCAGCAGAACTTTGTCAATGAGTCGAGGGCCGGCGATCCGCAGGACAGCACCCCCGGTGTGTGGGATGTGTTGTACTACAAGGAGACGCTGAGCGACCGCTCGCCTCCCCGTGTGTTCAAGTTCCCCTCGGATATCTCCATCTCGCAGCACCCTGAGACCAGCAAGGAGTTCAGGGAGTTCGCTGGACCTGGTGGACAGAACCACTGGAACGAGGTATGTTTCCTTCAGAGTTGAGATTTGGGGTGTTATGACTGACAGTGGTGACAGGACTACGCCAGAGAGTACATCCGTCTGTCGCTGCTTGGTGTGGACAACATCAACCAGCTTACCGAGTGCACCAAGGTTCTCCCTCCTGCGACTAAGGGCTTCCGCATCCTCGACCAGTTCAAGCTCGACAAGTGGCTGAACAGCGTCGGCAACAAGGGCGCCGCCAAGAAGGTGTCTCAGGACATTGAAAACGGTGACACTGTCACTGTTGATGTTCCTCCCGTCAACAACCGCAACTAGTGGAGTATGAGATGCTGGTGCTTTTCTTGAAAATAAATATCCCATTGGCGCACGGGTCTAAGCGGGCTTCGGGGCTATGGTAGATAATAATCGGTCGGAGTTTTGGGTTTGGCTTGGCTTTCTTTGAAAATGATTTTGTACATTGGCGCGGTATGATGACGCGAGATACATACTTTTAATCCATCTTACGATTCTTCATGACGAGTTTGGGCTCGACTTAACTCGTTGCATTTTCGTGATGCAGGCTGGGTCTGCCTGACTCAAGCCGTGATCCATGAGAACTTTATCCGCCGAGTACCCTCTTGGCTGGTTCAGAAACAGCTGATGGTTAAATCAGAAATAACCCTTTGATTCTTATCAAGCCGAGGTTGATATTGAGACTACTCACAGCCTTGCACGATCTGTCAGACCGTGAATATGTGATCGGCAGGAAGCTCACTGGTGCAACTCCGGGTGGACCCGGGCTTGCCGGAACCGAGATACTTCGGTCCGAAGTCAGAGACGGCAGCGCTCTATGGCGTGGCACAATACGACCTGCAGTTGATTTTAAGCTTCCCGGTACTTTAAAAGCCGTTGTACCCCACAAAGCGGCCCAACGAGTCTCAACTCATACTATTGCAGCTCATAATTCATCACCACCACCATGTCGTACCGCATGCTCATCTTCCTTCACCGGAAAGAGGGTCTTTCCCACGCCGAATTCAAGGACCATTATGAAAACGTCCATGTACCCCTCACGAAAGAACTCACCGGCTCGCTGTTCCCGATGTTGCACTCGCGCCGCTATATAGCGCGCTCGCCAGATGACGGCAAGCCCATGGTGCTCGCCGGAGCAAAGGGAGAAGATGAGGCCGATGCTGTGGTGGAGGTCGCGTTTAAGGACGAAGCGGCCGCGCAAGCTTTCTTCGCAGCGACGAACAGTGGCGAGGCGATGGAACGGTTGAAGAAGGATAATGAGCAGTTTTTGAACTGGGAGAAGTTGAGGATTTTGAAGATTTCGGAGGTCTGTGAGACGAGAGGTGATTCATGAGATGGGACTTTCAAATGATTCAAGGTACGTCGTCTATGTGGCAGTCTAAAGAGGCTATGCTAACATCCCACAGGCTTGAAAAATATCGGCAAGGACACTCGCATGACACCTAAATATGTATCAACTTCAATCCAACACAATGTCGCGCCGAGCAACAATTGAAATCGCCGTTGTGACGTCGGACACGGAGTTGCAGAGTCCGGACTCCCTGTACTCAGCAACTCCGCCGTGAAGCTCCGGACTTGCCGCTGAAGAACCCAAGAAGCCTCGGCTGAACCCCTGGAAGTGGATCCCTCAAATGCCTTCGGATCCGGCTCCGGGCTCCGCGGAGTCGCGGCCGGACCCATTCGAGTGGAGTGGATCCTCGCGGCAATCCCTGCAGCTACGCGCAACCGAACGGATGGAGTCGTATTTTTTCTCCCTGCCATCCGACTGCGTGGCCTTAAAAAAGGTCCAGATGAACCGCCGTCATTGAACCACTTTCGTTACACCAAGTTTTCGACATCGTGAGCGCGAGAACATCTCCCCGGATTTCGTGATAAAAGTTGCATCGGGTTGGTCATCCCGATTGGTCCCGCTCGCCGCGATCGACGACCTTGATAAATCTCAACCTGACAACGCGTCGAGCCAGGCGCGTTCTCTCCATTGTCAACACAACCACCTAATACTCCCTGAGCAGCATCACCATCGAGGATCTACTCCCAAAATGAGTCACAAGCATCAAACACTCCGCTTTGTGGATGACCCGACTGCCGGGGACGGCATCTGGGGATACCCCACGAGCAAAGCCAAGTACGCTACCGCTCCACTCACCTCACCAAAAGTCCCTTTTGAGATGCGATGCTGACCTCAGACTGCACTCCTAGCTTCTGCGAGGAGGATTACGTTTTCACGCGGTATATCGCAGAATTCATCAATTGCCTCTCCAATGCCACCTACAGTGAGTCTTTCCATTACCATAACCAGGAAATCACGTTGCTGACCCCTTGCCAGTCTACTTCGCCCTCAAGTACCCCCGCGCCAACTCCAAGGCGTCGGTGCCCTGGTACCGCACCCTGGACATCCAATCCGTCGGCCTCCTCCTCGTCGGCATCTTCTCCGGCGTCTTCCATGGCACGATGCACCAGGAAACCCAGCTCCTCGACGACCTCTCCATGCTCATCCTCGCCGGCTCGCTCGTGCAGCCGCTCTATGTCTACCGCCAGTCCTCCCTCGTCGGCGCCGCCGTCATCGCGCTGCTGTGGGGCGGCATCGGCACCATGGCTGTCATCTACGTCCGCTCCGGCGACATCTTCATCCACGTCATGACCTTCAGCGCGCTGCTCACCTTCGTCTGGCCGCGCACGCTGTACTTGGTCTACTGGACGGGGCTGTACTCTAAGGAAGAGAAGAAGATCTTCATGCGGTACTTCTGGAAGGCGGTCTTTGCGCTGATCTTTGGCTTCACGCTGTGGCATATTGATTTGGAGTATTGCGCTGAGTTGAGGGCTGTGAGGAAGGCGGTTGGACTGCCGATCGCGTGGTTCCTGGAGTTGCATGGGTGGTGGCATATCTTTACTGCTCTTGGAGCGAGCTGGTACATGCGGTTGATCAGGATGGTCACAGAGGACGCCTGTACCGGCTCTGAGAAGAAGCAGAAGTAAGTACAGTGTCATGAGACTTGAAGTTTGACTTTATTCAGGGTTGTATATCCCAAATTAGGCAGAGCAAAAGTATTTCAATTCAATTTGCGGAATAAACCCAAATAATCCCGAACCGGAATAATTCATTCTGCTTCGCGCACACTTTGACCTTTGGCTGCTCTCAAGTATAACTCAACCGACGCCTGTGACTGTATTGTGACGCACTTTGTCATCCTATTTCTTCAGATTCAACAACGATATTAATATTACTAGCTCAGAGCAGACCGAGGGCAAGGAAGACTTACAGCCGGAGCACCAGAAAGAACGAATATTGCCCCATCCATAGTTCCTAAAGTCGCTACATCCGTTGACCGGGCCGTTACTGTCGGCATACCTGCCCTGGCACCCAGGCTGGTCGAAGATGACGCATCTTCCGCCGCGCAGGATCACGGACATGGGAATCAACGACCCCGAGACGCATCCGCCGTTGGTGGCGCCGCCGTTCTGGTACTCGCGGCAGCCCGTGCCGGGCATGTCACGGTCGAACGTCTGGCATCCCGTGAGACTGGGGGCGCCCGTGATGGAGCGGTACCTCGTGTTGTCGTTGGCGTCGCAGTTGTAGACGTTGTCGTATGCAACGACTGATCAAATTGGGAGCTTTGAGTTAGAAACCGGATACTAGCAGGTAGAACGCAGAAGGAAAAGGCCAAGGAGAGTGTTGTCTTACCTTCCCATGCCTGAGAACTGGCGCACAGGGTGGCGAGAATGACCGCGGCAACGGTGGAGAAGTGCATCTTGGGTTTTGAACGTAGAAGAAAGATTGAAGAAGCTGGCTGGAGTCTGAATGACAGGAATCAATGCTCCCGGAGCAGATAGAGGCTCGTATTTATGGTTTTGAGGATTGCAGGCAAGACTCTTGATCTTCGCGAAATGGCTATGAAACGGCCAGGAGAGGAAAGACGCAATGACAAACCCCATTCTATCCACAGACAGACTAAAAAGCCCCATAGCAAAGCGAGGGAGCCAATCTGGATTCAGACCGTCTTTTCCTGCAACTATACAGACATCGATACCGAGCTCAAAGCGAGCCATCCAATCACAACTGAGAGGCGTTGCAAACCTCCCCCGAAAGTCCGCCCTGCTAGTACGGCAACTCCAAAGTTGGCTAGTTGAATGTAACGCTGTCTAATGCACATTTGTTCAACCAACTGTGCCATCTTTCCGCGTCTGAGTTGTGATATGCACAATTCTTAAGCTTGCGTCCCTTGTATCGGCGTAAGTGCACTTCTGGTCTGGCCTGGCCCCTTCCAAAATGTAGAAGACCTATATTACTGCCCCTGCCATTGTGTTGCATTATGCCCTCGTAGCTGAACCATGCACTCGCGCCAAGGCGACTTTGAGAAGGTCCGTAACTTAGCACCGCCCACATCGTGGGATTGCCTTAGACATCAACACATTGGTCCCCGGGGTATGCCAGGCAGCAGTCCTCGTCGCTCAGCACACAAATGATGACGAAAGGATGGGACAGGGCCGACATGCTGTGGTCTCGACTAAATATTCTCTCTTCCATTGAGGTGATGCTCAGATGCGGTTGCACAACTGAGCTCGCGACGTAACAATACGCAGTCCGCTTAAACTCGATATATGAACAGCGAATGTATGTAATATTCGCATGTCTAGCCTTTTCAATGCGCGTTATATTGATAGTGAAGTTGCTCGCTTGTCAGCAGTTCGTGTCCGTAGCATCGAAGCTTTCATATGCTTCGCGGACTGAACCGGGGACGTGATGCAACGAGGGACCTTCTGCTTCGTTGTTCTTGTCGGTACGTACGTGCACCCTCCAATTTGGGTTTTCAGGAGATGCATACGATCCAAAGTCTTGCCAAAGTTGGAGCCGTAATTTGTCACCATCATCATCCACCGTGACGAAGTAGTCAGTAGGACAACGGCTACACGAGCCGGAGAAAGTTACTGCTGAGTTAGAAAATGCTGCGGAAGCACTTTGCTCAGATTTAGCAATCTCATTGGCCATCGCGCGTGACCAGTGGCTGCGAACATCCCTGTTGGGGCGGATTTCATCCCGGTAGATTGACATTGCATCTGTGTGAGGACAGACTCTCTTCGCAGCTAGCCCGAAGATAAAGTATGTTGACTGGAAATCACAGCCTGTGAATTTCCAATCCATGTACAGAAGAAATCTTCCGTCAACAATTCTTGGGGCCGCTTCGTAGGTCCGTTGTTCACTGACCCATGAATCCGACCAACTGTAAGGCACCATGATTTCCACGAAGCGCTTGGCATAAGTCAACCCCCTCATGTGATGCTTCATAGCAATCTGGACGTGTGAGTGATGAATGTCGCGCACACGTCCGAGCCCGCGCCCTGGCTCAGAAGAACAGTCTGCTGGTGTTGGCCATAGTACGCGGTGAGGCACACGTGATTCAGGAAGACGATGGAGGCGGCAACATCCATCGCACACCCAGTGATTAGGCAAGATGTACGCCAGTCCTGTCCAAAATTCAAGCTGTAGAGACTTTGAGAAAATGGAGACTTCGGTTGCCCAGCGTCTATGAGTGAAGCTTCGCAAGACGGCATTGCTTTGCGACAGAATGAAAAGATCGTGTAGTTCGAGTTGGTCCGTGATGAGGAAGAAAATATCAAGAGGAAGTATAAGAATATTTGGAATATTTGAATGCTTCGCTTTGTCTCGGGTGCGAACTCGTCGTTTCCCACCCCGACCTTTGACGTGTTTGATCCATTTGAGACAGCCCATAATAGCTAGTCAGTTCCGAACTGAGCAGTTCAATATGGGTCAGGCAAAATAGTCCTGCAGAAAGAACAAGTCACCGAGTGTTATGGTGGTATATGGGCAGGTTTTGGTCAGTTTCGTCCCCCACAAGGAGTTATATAGGGTCTCTGGGCTCCAAAAGACGTAAAGGTCATGTTACCATTAAGGTATAGCCCATAAGGGTTGTCGCTCAAGACTCTTGGAACCTTGAGCCACGTGATCGATTCGCAAGTGCATGGACTATATTCCAAAGTGTCATGCGAAAGGCATTCATAAGGCCTTGAGAGGGAATGAAACCAAACTTTTAACACTATCTCAACTTGACGCAGATGGACACTCCAATCAATTTGTGCGGTTTATCTAGTTCCTGTAAAACTTCGACCCCGACTCCACCGGAACGCTTCTTCTGACGGTACATTCTCCGTTATTTGGCACTCTTACGTGGAACTTGATGCACCTTACGGTTGGCTTTCGGAATGTGACGAAGAACTCGGCGCGGTCGCTAACAATAGACCTCCAGCGCTTACAGTCCACGCCAGAACACACATGACGGCGATGACTCCTTTGATGCTCTGAACCTTCCACCAAGGTCCTTGGGAACCTTGCCAGAAGGCATAAAAGCCGGCTGCTGCCTCACCGACATTCTTCTAGCAGCCGACTTCTACGAGAAAGACTCTGCCTCGAAGACTCGAAGATTTTGCCTCGAAACCGTAAGTATCCCCAACGTCCGAAGAGAAGCACCCGTACCACCAGGACAATAAAACCCGTATTTAAGATAAAAGGTACTCTTCCCTCTCTCTCGGGCGCTAGGCAACAGCGAGCTTAAAACTCCGTTAGATAGCTACCTCAGCTGAACAGTAAGCACGCAACACATACGCGCTTTCAACACGTCTCAAACCCTTACGGTTACCAGGCGCACGAGGCAGAACTACCACCACTCCACTATCTATCTCCTTCGCCCACCTCGAGCAGATATCACCGGACGCTACGGACTTAGCTATACGATACGACGCCGAGGTATTTTTCAAGGCAGTATATATCCACCAGCTCATGATCTACCTTATCAAGCAATAGTACTTGAAAGCTATTAGTGGTTACCCTTGGCTAACCTATGAGCACCAACAAGGGCAAATTCACGATCACACAATCTTTCATGGGGAACATTGTACACAGCTTCGACGATGAACCGTGCAAAGAAATGCCTCGCCGTACTCGGCCGCATCATCGGCATCAAGAAGGAAAAACCAGAACATGACACCGATCTCCTGGTCGACACCAAGGCGGAAATCAAGTTCGATGCCGAAACCGACGCAAAAGTCGACACCAAAGTCGCCTGCTGCGCGTGTAACTGCCATGGTCCCGAGGCTCATACAGCTCGTAAACATAAATCGACATTAGGGTCCAAAAAGGGATGGGTGTATCACCCAAATTCCGAGTTCCCCTGGAGACTAGCCCAGGTGGTTGAAGAGGAAGAGAACTGGCGCGGAACCTGGGTTCTAGACGTGAAGGACTTGCGGGCGATGGACTGGGGCACCAACCTCGTGCCCAAGGGCGATGGCAACGGACGAGGAGGGCGATATGAGAGGCAGCCGACACGCCATATGCCTTTTCCGGTCGATGGGGGTGGGCACCGAGAGACATTGGTCGGAGGCCAGGACGACCTAATGGTGATGCTTGGACGGCGATAGGGGCCAGGACATAGGCGCGACGAAAGCCATCGTCAGTACGACACTTGCACGTCATGGACCGGAGTATACTTGCTTGTTCTGATGAGCTTTCTCATGAGCTAATTACGAAGGAAATGCAAGTGTTCCGAGCAGCGCTGCTCCAGGAATTATAGCAGGATGCCAATGCGAGAATGATACAACTGCAGATTGACAGCATCTGGAGACACAGCCCGTCTGTGATGAAAACGGGCCACGGACGAGAGTGTATGTAGGGTACTCGACTTAGGAGAAGTGAGCTCATCGTAAGCAAATTCTAGAAAGACGGATCTATCAAGGGTGACAGTCAGCCCTCACCGGCATCACGGTCAAAGATGAAGATTGCGAAGAAGTGAAGAGTAGCAAATGTGTCCCAGATATGACTGCAAGGCTGGACAAGGTGACTTCCGCAATTGACGTGTCGCTGCGGTTCGGATACCCAGAACGGCTCCCTGACTGACATCACATCATGAAAGTTCAAAAACTCAACAGCAAGGCTTCACTTAGTCTGGAAGATGTCCCGGCTGGGCGAAGAAGAGTATGGTAGTTTATTGTCGACGCTCGTGCTCTCAAAAATATAATTACATGGATTCTCATAAGGTAACTACCTTCAGAATGACCATGCCTGTGGCACGAGGCGTCTAAAACTCTATTGAACAGCTTGACTCCTTGACACGAGCTGTTCATTCCCGGAGTGCCTTGCACAGATTAGTATCCTCTTTCAAACATTCTTCGTACTGAGCCAGGCTCGTGGCTTAAGGTCGGACCAAGCGTGTCATCATTGGTCTGACAGCTGACATGTACCCTCCAGCTGAGATCCATCGGGGTTCCGTAGGACCCGTAGTCGCACCAAACTCGAACGCACGTCTGTCCACCCTTGACGGCGACAGCAAAATCAATTGGACAGCGGTCACATGATCCAACAAACTCGCATCCCGGATGCCTCTCTGAGGAAAGGACGGCACGCTTGAAATCCGCAGCTGTATTGGAAGTGGGCGTTGGAGCCGGCGGCGCACTGGGTGCAGGGAGCCGTAGACTGTAGAGACTAACGACAACTCGGGCTTGTCGAGGTAGAAGACGAGAAACAATGTGTTCGCCGTATCCATGTTCGTGAGGGCAGACGGGACGGAGGTTTAGTGTACTCCTTACAATTGCATTGTTCTTCAGTTCTCTCGCAACGAGAAACCTCCCGCGGACAATCTTTGGGACAGACTCCTTCACGGCCCAAAGATTGCCAACCGGAAGATAGTCCGGTTGGAATCTGTCTCTGCGCGTCTCCATGACTCGTTTGTAAAGTTGGTTTTCGAACAGGCCTCTCATATGGCACTTCAAGGCGATTTGAATGTCCGCGTGGCGATAAGCGTGGGTGTCAATGTTGGCGCTGGATGTCTTGTTGGGGTTGCAGCTGGGTAGCTGATATGGTCTGCCGCTGTTCCGGGGCTGGGCAACGGGTCCGAAATAACGGTGACGAATACCGAAGCGGTGCAATCGACAGCAGTCTTCGCACACGTAATGATCCGGCCGGGTGTAGCCCAGGACTGTCCAGAAACGGTATCTTTCATTCAAAGGAAGACTGCAGACGTCGGCATTCCATATCCTCACAGATCTTTTGGTAAGGTTGCGAAAGAATTGGTTGGTCCGTGATAGGATGAATAGGTCGTGAAGGTCAAGGAAGTCAAAGATGCAGAGAAGGATATCGTTTGGTACGTCGAGAACGGAAAGACCTGGGAACGAAGGTTCCTGTCGGATAGTCGACTCCATTGTGTAGAAGTTGATATTGATGCAAATGGTTGTGGATTAGCGACTGTGGGAAGCGAATGGTTGCTCAAGTTGTGGAAAGTGGCGAGTGCTCGCAGAGATTCCCGGGTCTATCAAGAAATAGAACTTGACAAGTGGCATGATTTTTCGAAACTTTCCCTTGCACGTGTCCGCATTACTTTCAAAGTTTTGTAGTCTGACTCTAATCAGCGAGACCTTGACGGCTTCATGACCATGCATGTTCGCGAAAGCGCCATAGGGCTCTCAGGGTGTCAGGCACCCATTCTTCGTCCTACTGGTCGGACGCAGATACAGGGATTTGCGCAAAAGGATATGCAAAGGATCCAGGGAATGAACAGTCCAGCTGGCTTGATGAGCTGCAAATATGCGAGCTTTGCTGTCGTCGAACTGCCGCACACCGCATGTGGAGGTTTTATCTCAGTAGACAATCCTTTTAATACCAACACTTTTCTGTGCTGTGTAGTGAATTTTGCGTTTAAGTAGAGTCAGAGAAAACCAGTTATCCCTCTGCTAAACCTGCGAGCCAAAGTCAACCAACCGCCGATGAGATACGGACAAGCAGATCCTCCTTGTTCACTCCCGTACAGGTAGTGGACGGCTGTGTTTTTGGTGTTCACAAGGGCCCCTAACGTTTCTTCAATTCTCTATAGCTCTCTATGGCACACGATGGATCCCATTTTTCAGATCTGCCAGACATCATCCAACCTCCCATTGAGAACGTGATGTACAGGGTTAGCCAGAGGGATCCATTCATACATACAAAAGTGATGAACGTCTCCATCCTTCTCGGCCGAGTTACCGGTCTCCGACACCGATAAAGTCCCACAACGCACCGGCCCCAAAAGCACGGCCCCGTCCGATCTGAGCGGGGCTGACTAACCCCGCAATTCCCGGACGTCCTCGCGCCCGCGCTTCATTAAGTCGCGAATGCGAATTGTGCTACGTCAGCCACCGTCCTCCAATCTCATCTCCCCAAAAGCGCCTCTTTCGAACTCCTGCAACATCAATTTGTGATCTCGTTCTCATATTAAGCTGCTAATCTCGCCAGCTCCACAAACGGCCGCCGTTCCCAGCTCAATCATCGCCATCCAAGATCTTGCCTTCGCACTTGCACCATCACAATGTCATCCCAAACCCTCACAAATCTCACAACAACCCTCTCCCGCCGGCCGGCCCTCACATCCGTCACCGCCGCGCTCACCACATCCCTCCTGATCTGGGCCGTCCGCGACTACCGCGCCTACATCGCCCTCGGCCCGGGCGGCGTGCCGCACAACTTCGCCGGCTGGCTCATGGTCACCATCGGCATCCGCCCCTTTGCGCTCTCGAAGAGCTCCGCGACATGGACGGGCGACTACCCCAGCGATGGATACCACCAAGACATGCAGGACCTGCCCAGACGGAAGGGCGAGAGGGCGGCGTTGGGAGGTATCGTGCCGCATAGGCAGCTGAGCCAACATGCGCCGGAGAACATGAGAGAGGTAACGTTATATCTCATTGAAAGACTTCCTTGCTGTGAAGCTAACAACGACGCAGTTCATCCAAAATCTCTTCACAAACGCAGCAACCCAGAACCCCGCCCTCCTCGAAACGAAAAAGTCGCTCTACGAACGCCTCAACCCGGCCCTCTTCGTCACAGCCCTGGTCCTCGCCAAATCCGCCCCTGAAGCAGCCCGCACCGCCCGCGGAGAGATAGGCCACCACCATGGCGACCTGTCGATCCACATGTACCTCTCCCCGGCAGACGCGAAACTCGCCATCGAAAAGGGCTGGGCGGAGCGCCACCGCCTCTCCGTCCCGCGCACCTCGTTCTTCGCGAACCGGTTCCACATGGCGGACTCGTACATCATGGTGTACGGACCCCGGGACGAGGAGGAGATGGAAGTTCTCGCGACGATTCTGAGGAACGGGATCCGGTTCATGACGGGCAAGGAGGATGTTGGGGAGATTGAGTGGAGGCAGATGCTTGTCTAGATCGGGGCACGGGTGAGCCTGTCATGATGTACGATGAGATGTTCTTAACGTCGTTGATATTATTAGTCAATATCTAATTACATTAGTTCTGAGATTAAGCCTGTTCAAGCGAGGACCCTGTAGATGGGATACTCGTCACCCTCCTCAACGGGCACGATGTTGAAGCTCGCGTAGGAGTCAATGTTCTCGGGCTCCAGCGCGACGAAGGCCAGCGCGGCGTTCTTCTGCTTCGTGCTGACAAGGAAGCTACCGGCAGGCAGATTGACCTCTCTTGTGAGAGGCTCAGTGGTGACGGTGGCGCGAACGACGCCCTCGTAGTATCCAGTCTCGAACTCCGCAGAGGTGATGGTGTAAGCCTCCACGGTGCCCTTGTACGGCCCGCTGAGGGTTTCGACCTCAAGACCACCGATACGCAGGCGCTCAGCGAGGTCGGCCCAGGATGCGGGGATGAGGTAGGCCTCGGGACGCGCGCGGGTGATGTTGGCGGCCACGGGGGTGGTTGAGCCAAAGTTGATGGGCACCTGCACGACGGAGCCGTTGTTGATGTTCACCATGGTAAAGGTGCGCTGGACAGTGGGCGAGGAGTCGGTGACGATGATCTCGGCGTCGGTAGTCTTGAAGTCGGCGATGGAGGACTCGATGGTGGTGTACACCTTGTCCGCGTTGTCAGCAGCAGTCTGCAGCACACTCGAGGCCATGGTCAGACCCGCGACGGTGCGGCGTTGAAACTCCTGATCAGCGAGGTAAATACCGCGCATCTCGATCAGGAAAGTCACGCACTGAGTGAGGCCCATGGCGTTGCGGCCGATCTTGGCGTCAGACCCGGCCTCGGCAAAGGTGGGCTTGAACTCCGGGTTGGTGCTGGTGGATCCCGTCACGTAGGGCTCCCAGCGCAGGCCGCGAGACTCCATTGCCGAGCCGATGTTCTTGGCAAACAGCTCCTCGGATAGAGAGCGAATGTCAGGGTGGATGTTGAGGTTCTTCGCGGCGGAGAAGAGACCGTCGGCGGCGTGGTAGTAGCTGCCGTAGCGGGCGGTGGCGCTGTACTCGTGCATGTCAACGGCAACGTGGGGGTTGAACTCGTTGAAGAGGGACTTGATGCCGCGCGTCTGCTTGCGGGCGAGCTTCACATGGTCGCGGTTCGGGTCGTAGTTGGTGGCCAGGGTGCGCTGGAAGTAGAAGACGCCGTCGGGGTTGTAGCGCGGCAGAATGACGATGTCAAGCTTCTCGAGCAGCGAGGCCGTCCAGGTCTGGTTCGCGTCAAGTGCGCCCAAGAGGGCCAGCATGGACTGGTCGCCGGCAGGCTCATTACCGTGGACGGCTCCCTGAAGCCAGACGCGCACCTTGCCGGTCGAGTTCGATGCCCTTCGAGACTTGGCGGATCCTGAGGTGAGGTGAAGGTAGGGGAATGGGCGGCTCTCCTCCGAGGTGAAGTTCGCTTTGTTGTAGGTCAACCAGCTGTTCTTGTCGGCGAGATCTTGAACAAAGGTGTCTTTAAGGCGGTCAGCTTTGCATAATTACGATGGCATCGTCTAATTATCTTACCAAGAACATCATCCGCAGTAGGTCCCTGCGTGCCTTCGGCGAAGCCGGTTGGGATCGTCTCCGGGCTCAGAAACGCGGGCGACAGCAAGTCTACACCCTCGATGGCCTGGAAGTTGGCTGCGATGGCATCGCTGTCTTGGCGGACGGTAACGTGGTTGTATCCGTACTTGGCGGCTTCCGCTGAGGCGAGCAGTGAGAGGCCAATGAGGCCAAGGCGAGACGTCGGCAACATGCTGTCGATTTCACACGGCGTCCGAAGTTCCAGTAGCTCAGGTGCTGCTGGAAATTGACGGTCCGAACCCGCGGCGGCTGTCAACGGCTTTTACGCAAACTTTATACATCCCCCGCCGTCACATCGCGGCGTTGCCGGCGGCGCAAAATGGCTCACCGACGCATGGTAAAAGGCATGACCGGGGCTTGGCTGAGATCATTCGGAGGCTTTTCAATTGGTCATTTGAGATATGCGAACATAACGCCCGATAACAGGAGCGTCAATGGTCAGCAAGGTGCGAGGTGGAGATTCATCGCGGCGAGCGTGAACATTGGCAACGAAACTGTATGAGGCAGCTCGGTGGCAGGTGTGAGGGGAAAGCGGGGGAGCCCCGTGGGCAAGATAACGGCGGCCCATGGTGCCAAGACCTCAGGCCCCGTAGCGAAATAATTCATTTGCGATTGACGTATGAGACGTCTGGATTGAATCTCAATTGCTCCACGCTCCGATACTGCAGTGCCGATGGTCGGGACTTGACCTCCCGACCGCGCTCGCCAAGAGCCCGGCTGTGCTGGTTGGGGATGGATCAGCAGATATGCATCTGGCCATGCCCGCGGAGAGTGGACCACAGTCCGGGCCGGTCGTCAACAACTTCACCCGCTGCTATATCGCTGCGGCCGACGACCGGACGCGTTTGCTTGTTGAGCCAGATATCCGGGTAAGCTGTTTGCTACGCAGCGCATTGTACCAGTCAGCCTGCAAAGCGCAGCTCGAAAGTCGCATTTCTACCGGTCTCTATGATGTCCGAGTATGATCAGAAAACAACTATCGCAACCTGCTTCAATCACAAAGCGGCCTTGCCTCTCGACTCGAACGGCATGAAGAGCACCAAAAGCCCAGCTGCGATGAACAGGGCACCACTGGTGTAGACTGGAGCGGAGGTCTTGAGGTTGGCGAACATGGCGACAATGGGCTGTTGTCATCAGCATCACGATCACACCACAGGCCAATCTCATCTACTTACTGCCATGATACCGAAAATTCGGTTGCAAGTTGCCGTTAAGGCGTTGCCGGTCCCGCGCTGCGGTGTCGGGAAGAGCTCGGGCGTGAACCCATAAAGGACGGCATACATGACGTTGCTGGAGAAATTGAAGGCGCAGTTCCAACCCAGAAGCGCGTTGCTTGTCAGCGCAGTCGTTGAAGAGTAGAGAAAGACTCCTGTTAAAACCGTACTGAGGGACAAGGTGCCTTTTCGCCCCAGTCGAGGTAGCTCAACTAGCCACCCACCCAACAATGCGCCTGGTACACCAACGACCGCGATGATCAAGCTGTTGCGATATGTCACATACGTGCTTCCATCGCCGATTTCCGCGCCGCGGGTTGCTTGGATGTAGGGAATAAACGCATTGTACAGAGGATACCCAAGTCCGATCAAAGCCCAAACAGCCATGATCAAGCCCGTGCTCAGTGCAAGTCGCGGTGTCGAGAAGAGGACGCGTACGTGGCTGAGATCCAACTTTTCGAGGTTTCGTTTTACCGCGGCGGTAGCATCAGTTCGAGCGACGTATCCCTCTGGCTCGCAAGCCTTCAGGTCCTCCACCGATAGAGATGTTATCTTGCCGTTTCGCCTCGCGACTTCATGGACTATTCGGACGGCATCTTCGTCGCGACCCTTTCCCATAAGATACTTTGGTGATTCGTAGATCGTAAAGAGAGCAAAACGGACGAGAAACATGACGAGGGTCAAGCCCCCAATGGTGACGATGAAGTATCGCCAGCCCATATTGTTCGATTTGGTGCAGGTCTGGCCCTGTTGACATGTGAGATTCCCCAGAAGAGGCCATGCAATCAACGTCGCGATAACCTGAGCAATAGCCCAATCGATGGATAAAACCGTTAGCAGGTACTGATGAGTGCCTGGCAAGAACTCGAGGAAGATGGCGGAATCGACAGGGAGGTTGCCTCCCACCCCAAAAGACCAGAAAGCCGCAAAGATGCCGATGGCTGCGAAGTTGGGAGCCCCCGCGGCGATCATTCCCCAAACTGCAGTCAGGCCTAAGGTGAGATTGAAGGCTATCTTGCGACCGAAGATATCGCAGCCGAACCCCCAGAACATGGCTCCAGCCAGCAGACCTATGTTTTGAGAGAGACTCAGAAGCGGGGGGCGGGTCGGCTTGAACTCGTTTGCGATGGGAGTGAATATGAGCGAGGTGACGATAGGCCAGAGGTTGTCACTTGCCCAACCAAAGCCGACGACGACGAATAACTGCCACTGATACCGTCCCATGCCAATATCTTGGATCTGCAAATCACCAGTCAGTGGCAATCCTCTCCAAGGTAGCCAAGTCGCGCTTCGCGCTGAGGTTTCACACGTACCGCGCGATTGAGAACTCGAGCCTTCGCCTCGTAGACCGGGTCGAGAGCGCCCTTGGGGATGATGGCGGCGTCATCAATGCCGTGGACTTCGAGGACGGTCGCGCGCCCGTGTGGTGGGGGCGACTCCTCCTTCCGCGCCTTATCTGGTTCGGTGCCCATCTAGATCGTCCGTCTCGCGTGCGTTCCCAATAACTCAATTCAATTCCCAAGACCGAAGCAGCGCCACAGCAACGTTTTCTTCCAGGAAGTAGTCGAGAACATGTGTTGGATTGCACAAGGTAAGTAAGGTGGAAACGCGGGTCATGAAGTACGGCCGGCCGATGACCAAAGTTCGAGTACCGCCGCGGGTTCCCCAGGTCTTCACGTCGTACGCCAATTCAATGGCGCAATCCATCCGGTCTGCGACTCTTCCGGCTGTTGATTGGCCGTGCCGGCATTGAGGCGGTCGGAACGCATGCCGATCTGCACTCTGTTTCTGTCCCGACGCGGGAGGGAGGGGTGGAAGAGGGGCCCTAGCGATCAAGCGTGTGGGGGGATCTTCCCGTACCCCATCGACATTCGCTCTGTCTCATCCGATTTGACGCATGTGTTGGTCACAGTTTGGGGTTGTGAACCACCAGGGTGATGATGTTTCTCGAGGGACGGACGTCATCGTTGGGCAGGTGTATCTGGTGGTGTAATTTTCCGCTCTTCGTGGACTCTTTGCGACAACATCGAGTTTTCCTCGCTGAAGAAAAGAACTGCTGACACAGAAACGTCTACAAAGTAGCGCCTTCGATCGAGGATGGGCACTGTTCGAAAGTTTGTTCCTGACAGTTGATGTGTCGAAGACAGCGTTTGCCGGCCCGGCTGTTTAAGGCACAAGGAAGCGCACAGGTTCCCGCCCCAAGCGAGACCCACCAAGACGATCGGAGCTGGCCGGTGCTTCATGACGATGGCGACTAATGCCAGCCGGTGCCAGGCGGTGTCCAGATGCGTCCACCCGTTCACCCCTCATCGCCATCGCAATCTCCACCTCGACCACGCAGACATTGGACGGCAAGGTGAGGGCTCTACATAGGACGAGATACTTAGTGCCCATTCGTTCGATAGAACCCAGCTTTTTGAGAATGCTAAGCCAGAGACCATTCGTTTTGGTCCTTTCTTTCCTTTGTATTGTGACGTCAGCCCGCAAGAATTTGATCGTGGACACCGACTTGTTCAGTGATTGCGAGTAAGCCTTCTTTCTCAACTATTGAGTACTTTTCATTTTAATGGTCCAAAGTATCTGACACTCTTCAAGTGATGCAGGTGCTCTATTGCTTGCGGCAACCGCGCCAGAGGTGAACCTCCTCGGAGTCAACATCAACTCTCAATCGTCATACTCAGTCCTAGCCGCCTCCGCCATCTTGAACCACTATGGTCATTCCGAGGTACCCATCGGCGCCCGCCGTCCTCTAAACAATATTCCATTCTTTGATAGCTGGACGATACTGCTGGGCGAGTTCGCCAGCAAAGTCGCCACCCACTGGCCGAACAGCATGTCAGATGCAGACGAAGCCTGGGACCCCGTCAAACTCTACCGCAAGCTCCTCGCCGAAGCCGAAGACGATTCCATCACCATCGCGTCGATCGGCTTCCTCCAAAATCTCTCAGCACTTCTCAACTCAACGGCCGATTCCTACTCCGAACTCACCGGGCCCGAGCTCGTAGCGACGAAGGTGAAGGAGCTTGTGGTCATGGGCGGCGACTACCCAAGCGGGTACGAGTTCAACTTCTGGTACGATGACCCGTACGAAACTGCCCGCGTCATACACAGCTGGAATAGTCCCATCGTCTACGTGGGCTTCGACCTCGGGAGCTCGATCCGTTCAGGCGGCCCGCTGATGGCGGATGGCCCGAAGACGGACCCGGTGAGGGCGGCGTACATCTTGTATACTTATTATCAACCGAGGTGGTCATTTGACCCGATAGCAATGCTGTACGCTATCAAAGGCTTAGATAAGTACTTCAAGTATGGAAATGAGTACGGCTACAACACCGTCAAGCTGGAAGGGGAGGCAGGTTGCAATGGCTGCAATGAGTGGGTTTTTGACGAGAACGTTACGAATCAGCACTGGCTCAACACGACTATCAGCCATGAAGAGATTGGGAACGAGCTAGATGAGCTCTTCTTGAGAGGCGCGCGGTCTTCTCCGCGTAGCTCCGATCCTGTAGGCGCGTTACCTAGATTTGGTGAATGTAGGATGGAAACCTCTACGAGAACAGAAGGTGGGCCATTTGATAGATTGGAGTTATGATACGATGGAATCGCAATCCTCATGCTGGTGTGAGTAGGAGGAACTTGACCCTGTAGGCTTTGGTAGCGGAAAATTTGAGAACAAGGTCTCCAGATCAAATAAATGGTCGAACTCTGTAATTAACGGATCAAGTTGTGATGAGTTGACAACGGAAAAGCAGAGGCGGGGAAGGTAACGCCGTTCCAGCATTTTCGAAGCTTCAAAAGGAAGCAGCAACCCAGTCTCTGAGAATAGTCACGTTCTTTATAATTCAACTAAATTTTCTTCTTCAAGGAACAAAAACATTAAAGACATACACAAAGTATCAGATAACAGTTTCCTTTTTCTTTTTCCCTTTTTTTCTAACTTGTTCTTTTCTTTGTTTTAAAACTTTTTGAAATGGCAAAAGGCAGGTTTGAACCCATAACCATATTAAACCCCAGCGGACAGAGTGCCAACGACTTCACAGGGCGCAAGCACATTGGCCAGACCTGACCAACTGAGCCATCAACTCCTCTATCCGCTGTTGCCATAAGCAAGTACGTATCGCCAATATATTGCATGCATTCTCGGAAGGGTTCGTTCTGCGTGAACAAGCGGCTGTGGCGGCTGTCATCAGGCACGATGATTGAGATTCTAGACCTGACTGGACTTCTCGGATTTCCCCCACCTCTCCGCCACCGCCATTCCGTCAGATTTGTCTACTTACTTGCATTACACGATAGATTTCTACTGAGGCGCTACTTAAGAGTCTTTATTCAAACCTTGCAAATTCGTTTGAGGACACACTTGCACACTTGCACAGTCGCACTCCAGCCTGGGCAGAGTTGCATAGAACAACCCTTGCCGTAGCACCAAGGCGACATCGAGGCAGAGGGGGATACGTTACACTTGTACGTGATTGTCACCCGCATGAGCACTTAAACCAGCAACTGGCAGGCTGATTATGGATGCCTTATCAATCTCAGCTGGAGTTGTGGCAACGCCAAGTTCTGGCGTCTTTAAGTGTGGTCCAGGACATCCCTGCCTCGAATCACGAGAGCGCCTTCACCCCCTCCACCCCTGGCCCGGGAACAGCAGACCAAGATGCAAAAGTTCCTGCGCCAAGACATCCCTGTGAGAGAAGGCCGTTGTCAACCGCAGAGTGCGCCGGGACAGAGGACAACACAAGACTGTCCTTGCCGCAAGTCCGGGATGTGTTGGCTCGACTCACGGAACACAAAAGGCCATTCCGAACTTCAAAATTATACTGGAAGACTTGCCTCCCGTCCATCAATTCACTTGACCTCAGACATGCATGAAACGCTACCTGCCATCACAACTCTCAAGCACAGTGGAGCTAAGAACGTGGACAGCGCGACTGGTGGGTGGGAGTAGTTCGTGTGCCGTGACTCTGATTCTACGATAGAGCATCAAGCAAGCTTAGCAAGGATGTAAACAAGTTGTAGCACAGACCAAGAGTTTAAGAAGGTCCAGTGGGAGCCGGGATCCCGAGGGTCAGGCATGAGACCGCGGGCTGCCGAGAGAGCCGTGCCTGCAGCGGGATGGGATTTCCTTGAAAGGAAGCGAAGTCCACCAGTCGAGTGCGACATACACTGGGCACCGACAAAGAAGGTGTCTTTTCCGAGCAAGTATCCGTAGGCCAAACAACAGAGCTGAGGGCATCAAGACCCACGAACAAGGGCTTTGTTGGGCGTGCCGGTGCTGGGTGGGCATGAAGAGCCATGACTAAGAGCCATATAGGAACGAACCAACACGATCTGGCCGACGAACAACGGCCTAGGTCACCCGGACGTGACTACTCAGGAAAGCTGTGCCGCCGTTCTGGACCTCAACTCAAAGCCTAAGCCGACACGACCAATGTCGGAATACCTCCGACCACCAAAAGCGCTACTCCGAGAACCCTCGTTCGTTCACATGCTGAACATCCCACCTGGACCGAGAGAAGCGAAGCGTGCCTGCCGCCCTCCACAAGATCGAGAGCTTGGATTTTCGCCCTCCACCTAGGCAACTGGAGACCCGGAAAGCCTGGACCGAGCCCGGTCCAAGCGCCGCCTTTTTGACTCATGGCCATTCATCGAAGAAGTACGGGGATGGCGGGCGATGGCGACCCAATTTCCGGTGTCGCAAACGGGTCCTGGTGGAATAGAGCATCTCGAGACCTTTTGTGTTGCCGGACTATCGCCGACGTTCGCGGAGAAGTGGCCTCGGACACCGAGTTCAAACTTCCGGCTGCAACGCTGATTCGCCGTTGCGCTTGACAGCTTCTCGAAACGGATGATCGCCAAGCCAACTCAAACTAGATTGACTGGCACCTCGTGCGGCGGCCGTTGCCTATTAGAACCCAGCGAAACCTCGCCCAAGAGTCAGAGAAACAAAAATTCTGTCAGGGCCGGGGCAAATACGAGATCGGGGGACTCGACCCGAGAAGAGCAGCTCGCCGTTGCAGCGCATGTGTGAAGAGAATGAAAAAACGGGGACCCCCGGCCACCGCGCCGAGAATGCGCTAGTGATGCAGAGGTGATGTCTCCAGCCAATGGCCGTCTGGGGATCCATCTTATCTGATGATCAGATATGATGCGATTCCGCTCCTGATGGAGCGCCGTCCAACCCCATCAGGCCCTTGTATGCGCCAATGTGCGGACAAGACCAAACAGCGCAGTGGAACCCCAGCCAGGGCGATTTCATCAGATAACTCTCTCGGGTGGGGAACCACACGACGGTGGGGACCGTAGCAGCACCTGCAAACATTGGAGAGAAACCGGGACAGGGTCGTGATCGGTGCCAGGGGTTGGCACCGGTTTTGTCGGCCCAACTGAACCTTGGCGGGCCAACCCGCCGGCGGATGCGCCTTTTGCCTTCTGCTGCAGACTGCACCTGTGTGTTGTTTTCTCGGCATGGGAAGCGGTTGGCTGACGCTCGGCGCCCAGGTTGCAGCCAGACCACGCGCGCGGGAGAAGCATATATGTACGGCCGCGTATCCCTTCCATGTCTGTCTCGGACTCTTCTGCTCTCCAAGTCAACTCCCCCCATCACAGCTTCAATCTTGTGATCCTTCGAGCCTTGAATCTTGCTCATCACTTCCCATTGCCTGAGACCTGCTCTCCCCTTCTCAGACTCTTGTCAAGTCCAACCCCACTCCAAGATTCATCCCGTCAAAATGGTTTCTTCCAAGTCGGTCGCTCTGTTCGGCAGCATGCTGCTGGGCAACGTCATGGGTGCTGATAACATGGGGCCAGCTGCCTTCCTCTGGCCCCCTGACCGTGAATGGAACGCCGATGCCGACAACACGGCGCCCTGCGGATCCACCGCCGGTGTTGGTACCCGTACCGAGTTCCCTCTGGGTAAGTTGAATCGATTCTGAGGCCCCGGCTGCTGTCCGGAACAGCTCGGAGACTTCCACAGTCCATTATAGGCATATGATGCTGACTCCGTCATAGTCAACGGCAAGCTCGCTCTTGTCACCCAGGACCAGACTCGTGCTGTTCACCTGAGTGTCTCCTACGAGAACGGTTAGTAGACCATCCCCGATGAATCCGTTATTATCAGAGAACCTAACACTGACGCTTTCGTAGACCCTAAGTCCGTCTCCGACTTCGAGACCTTCCTCGGCCCCAGCGAGGTCGGCAGCCTCGACCTCGGCCACACCTGCGTCACCGTCCCCTCCGCCCCCTCCGGCGTCGCCGCCGGCTCCAACGCCACCTACCGCATGCTCTACGTCTCCAACTTCGACCAGGACGAGTCCAAGCGCGAGACCTTCTACGCCTGCGCCGACGTCACCTTCGTCGACGTCTTCACCATGTCCATCCCCTGCTTCAACGCCACCGTCTCCGACCCCGAGGTCGAGTCGGACCCCAGCGTCAACGTCACCACCACCGACTCCGGCGGCAACACTCCCCACACCGCCGCTGACTTCACCGCCGCCGACAACAAGTCCTCCGGTCTCTCCCGCGGTGCCATCGCCGGCGCCGTTGTCGGTTCCATCGCCGGTGTCTCCATGCTCGGTCTCGTCGCCTTCTTCCTGTGGCGCCGCAAGTCTGCCAAGAAGACCGTTACCGAACCCATGCAGCAGCGCTGGGATGCCGAGAAGGCCGTCAGCGAGACGTCTTCTCAGCACACCGGTCGCAACTAAGCGATTTCTCGCGGTTGTCCATTCCTAACCCGCCTGGGGTTGGGTCATCACATGACGAAAGTGTTTCTGGATTGCAAACGAGACATGAAATGATAATGTAGATCATGAATGTAGGATTAGTTAATTAAGAAGGGCGCCGCCAGGTTCCCGACTGCACTCCAGATATTGTTTGTGCAGTGTGAAAGTTTGGGTTTGATGCATAAAAGCCGTTGGATGTCCCTGCATGCACTTAAGCCTCTTAGCGCCATCTTGGTAGCGAGGCCCCACCTGCACCTTTTTGCTGCAACCACTCCAGGCAGCATCACCCGAGGCAACCAATCCACTGTGAGCTACAGGCACCGGCCTCCTCGAACTCAAGCCAACGACATGCGACGACGACCTTTAAAGTCGTGACACGACCCGGATGATTCAGAGTTGCTTGTGGCGTTTTTCTTCCATTCATCCACCTTTGTGCAGAAGCCAACGGTGTCAAGTCCAGCCCTATAGCAAAGTCAATTGCACCGTTGCGACTTCAACGCCGTGCAGCACCTCGCATCAGCCACCATGAGCCAACGCAGACGGCAACGCTCGCCCGATGCGATGGCGATCGACGAAGAGGAAAAGCAGTACGCGGTCGGCGGCATGACGTTGGCAGAACTCGATGAGAAGTAGGCAATCTCCCAAGCACTTGTCTGTGACCCGCTCACACCACTTCAGGTACCCCAACCGCCCGCGCAATCATTCTCAAACCATGCGCTTCTCAGAGCTCTTCCAGAGTTTGTTCAATCCTTTGAATGAGAACAAAAAACAGCCTCCTGGAAGAGGCCCTCCCCGCTCCAAGAGAGGTCCTCAGGCGACCAAGCTCTCGCCGCAGGAGCAGCGCCGCCATATTATTGAGCGCTTCATTTCTAGATGGAGAAACGAAGTCGGAAACGACGTCTATCCCGCCTTCCGGCTGATTCTTCCCGACAAGGACCGCGATCGCGGAGTCTACGGTCTCAAGGAGAACGCCATCGGCAAGCTTCTCGTCAAGCTGATGAAGATTGACAAGAACTCCGAAGACGGCTACAACCTGCTACACTGGAAGCTTCCTGGCCATACCACACAATCTCGTCTCGCCGGAGACTTTGCAGGAAGATGTTTCGAGGTCCTGTCGAAGCGCCCCATGCGCACCGAGGTCGGCGACATGACGATTGCCGAGGTCAACGAGCTGCTGGACAAGCTGGCCGCGTCTTCAGGAGAATTGGAGAATCTCGAGGTCTTTGAAACCTTCTACGAGCGCATGAATGCGGAGGAGCTTATGTGGCTTATTCGCATCGTTCTGAAGCAAATGAAGGTCGGCGCCACAGAGAGGACGCTGCTGAACCTGTGGCATCCCGATGGCGAAGCTCTCTTCAGCGTGTCCTCAAGCCTGCGGCGTGTCTGCTGGGAGCTACACGACCCTAAGATTCGGTTGGAGTCCCAGGATACCGGTGTGTCTCTGATGGAGTGCTTCCAGCCCCAGCTCGCGCAGTTTCAGATGCCATCATCCTTTCAGAAGATGGTTGACTACCTTCGACCCACGGAAGACGATCCCGAATTCTGGATTGAGGAGAAACTTGACGGCGAGCGCATGCAGATGCACATGATGGAAGACTCGAGCTCGCCCGGTGGCTTTCGGTTCTGCTATTGGTCGCGAAAGGCCAAAGACTACACTTACCTGTATGGCAAGGACCTTCGAGAAGGTGCATTGAGCCGTCACCTGAGCGAAGCCTTCACACCAGGCGTACGCAACCTCATCTTGGACGGCGAAATGATCACATGGGACCCGGAGGTTGACAAGATAATGCCTTTCGGAACGTTGAAGACGGCAGCGCTGGCGAACCAGGAGATCAACAACACCACCGGTCCTCGCCCTCTCTTCCGAGTGTTTGACATTCTCCTTCTCAACGATCAGCCGTTGACGCAGTACACCCTACGAGACCGCCACAGAGCGTTGGAGAAAGCTGTCAAGGGAGTGCATCGCCGACTTGAGATCCATCAATATGAAACTGCTACATCGCCAGACGCAATTGAGCCACTCCTCCGAAAGGTCGTCGCCGAAGCATCCGAAGGACTGGTCCTCAAGAACCCGAGATCCATGTATCGTCTCAACAGCCGCAACGACGACTGGCTGAAGGTCAAGCCCGAGTACATGTCTGAGTTCGGAGAGTCGCTGGACTGCGTCGTCATTGGCGGCTACTACGGCTCCGGACGGCGCGGCGGTGCTTTATCCAGCTTCCTTTGCGGGCTCCGTGTCAGCCAGAACCACATCCAGGCAGGCGCAAACCCAGAGAAGTGCTTCAGCTTCTTCAAGGTTGGAGGTGGCTTCAAGGCTGAGGACTACGCCGAGATCCGTCACCGAACAGAAGGCAAATGGAACAACTGGGACTCGAAAAAGCCACCAGTGGAGTATATCGAGCTAGCGGGAGACAGCCGCCAGTTCGAGCAGCCAGATGTCTGGATCCGACCCAGAGACTCATTCGTCCTCGAGGCGAAAGCAGCAAGTATCGGTGGCTCAGACCAGTTCGCCCTCGGGTTTACCCTACGATTCCCACGCTTCCGCAAGCTGCGACTCGACAAGAACTGGAATGAAGGGCTTAGTGTGCAAGAGTTCCAGGATCTTCGAAAGCGCGTCGAGGCGGAGGCCAAAGAGAAGACGATGAGCGTTGAGAACCGCAAGCGAAGAGCGCCCAAGCGGATCAAGCGGGAGCTGACCATCGCCGGAACGGAAAACACGCCTGTGCAGTTTGCGGGCGAGAAGACCAAGGTGTTTGAAGGACTCGAGTTCTGCGTGCTGTCGGAGTCGCTGAAGCCGTTCAAGAGGACCAAGGCGCAGCTCGAGACGTTGGTCAAGGAGAACGGCGGGCAGATTTCCCAGCGGGCGATACCACAGTCAGACATGATCCTGCTTGCTGACAAGAATGTGGTCAAGGTCGCCAGTCTGCTGAAAGAGGGACAGAAGCTGGGCGGCGTGGATATTATTCGGCCTAGGTGGCTGCAGGATTGCCTTTCACAATCACAAGAAGACGACTACCTCCTGCCATACGAAGAGCGGCATGTCCTGCACGCCACCGAGGCTCTGAAGACTGCCGCTATCCAAAATACGGACATGTACGGTGATAGTTATGCTCGAGACATAAGTGTCGATGAGCTCCGGCAAGTGTTCAAAGAGGTGCCGAAGAAGGAGCCGGATATGGAGCCGTTCAATAAGGCGCACTTCCTGGAGCAGCTGGAGGAGCGGGGCCACGGCGTTGGTGAGATGAAGGGGGCAATGTTCCACCGCTGCTTGGTGCACCTGCACGACGTGAATGACGCTGGAGAAGACGACATCAAAGTCCTAAGGTTAAGAAACTTTCTTCGGTTTGGCGGGGCTCGGTTGACACCGGACGTGGACGATGAACAAGCAACGCACATCGTGGTCGTGGGTGATGGAGACCAGCGAAGACAGGCAGCGGAAGACCTGAGAAAGGAAGTCAGCTCAAGGCGGAAGATCCCCCACATCGTCACTGGCGACTGGGTTGAGGACTGCTGGAGAGAGAAGACTTTAGTTGATGAGGACAAGTACACGCAGATGTAACGGGGGATTGGCTCAAGGCATGCAGTTCAAATCATGATAAGACTCGGATACCCAGGATAAAATGACATTATATTCAACTCCAGCACCCCAAGATTCCCTTCTAAAATGCCATGTCCGGTGCCAAGAAACTCACCAAAAGCAATCCAGCAGCCACTCTTCCTTCATCCACCGTTTCTTACTTCCCGATGGTCAAGAACAAGCGGTCGCCAACATCGCCCACGCCGGGCTTCAGCATGCCGTTGGGCGTCAGCTCCTCATCAACGCCCGCGATCCAGATGTCGGTGGCGTCGGCCCACTCGCCCGCGGCGCGCTTCACGCCCTCCGCGGCGCCGATGACGGACATGACGATGATGCGCTGGACGCCCCACTCGCGCAGCGTCTGGATAGCGGCGGCGCAGGTGCCGCCGGTGGCGATGACGGGGTCGAGGATGATGGCGAGCGAGCTGACGTCCGGGTTGGAGCCGTCGGCGGAGATGTGGTTGGGCAGGTTGTTGTAGTACTCGACGGGCTCGAGGGTGGAGGGTTCGCGGTAGAGGCCGAGGTGGTGGACGGGGACGGGACCTGGGAGGATCGTCTGGACGGCTGCGCGCGGGGGTCGGTTAGCTTGCCTTGCAATGGGTGCTGGATAAGGGGTCTGCTACATACCTTCGACCATGCCGAGACCTGAGCGGAGAATTGGGACGAGGCAGAGGCGGGAGGGGGAGATTTCGGTCGAGGTGAACTCGAAGCCTAGCGGTGTCGCATCCTGGAGGGGTAATCAGCCCTGCACCCGGTGATACTGGGACAACGCCAGAAAGAAGGGGAACATACCTTGGGGCCATCTGTCGCCTTGGTAGAAGCAGCGAGGGCTTCCGTCGCTACGATCAGACCGATCTCGTGGACGAGCGTCTTCACGTCCTTCGCGGCGGTCGATTTGGATCGCAGCTGGGAGAGCTTCGCCCGCAGACAGGGGTGCTGGGAGACGTGCACGTTGGAAGGGAGCGACATCGTTGTTGATATGGTATCTTCTTGTTCAATACTACCAAACGCAATAAACCCGAAGCAATCCACGAGAACAGAGTACAGATGGAATTGAAGAGAGACAGAACGAAGTCCAAAGAAAATGGCCGACAGAAATAGACCGCCAGAAGCAAGTCTCAGAGGCTGGGAGAGACGGACTTACCTAAGGAACCAACCTACCTCCCAATGGAAGGAGGGGTGTTCGCGCGCCGCCCGCCCCCGGGCTCGACGTCCGTCCCTTGTCCTCCTGATCAGCGCCGGTACCTTATGTGGGGCATCGTGCATGGATTGGAGGGGCAGCTTGGGGCTTGATAAGATAAGGTAAGCCCACGTTGGCGCCCGCCCGCCCGCGGCCAGCTGGACTGGCTGGTGCAGCCCCTCCTATCCGTAGGCGTAGGTCCTCACTGGAAGTAAACTCCGGCGTCCGGTGAGGCGTCGGAGGTCGCCGCCCTGCAGGCGCTGGCTTGCAGATAGAACACGATGCAGGGGGGAGGTTGGAGGGGCTGGAGAAGGAGGCTCGATAGGAATCGTAGATATTAGAAACGTGTTCTTCTTGAGTTGGCGTGTTCAATCTTTGTGGTATCGTCTGAGGGAGATGCCATTTCCTTCCTCCAACACCGGATGGACCCCCAAATCCCATTGTTGATGTCACACCTCGGTGTACTCCGCCTTTTCGGTGAAGAGCACCCCACAGCGACGCTCTGACCATCGGTGAGCGCTCAGCACTATCAGCGGCCTTTGTTTCCCAGCCGCCCATGCCGACGTAGCCGTTCTACCCGTCCATCAGGGCTCCGAAATTGTGACGTCCACGCAGCAACGTGCCAGCATTCCATCCACCCTAATTTGGCGCAACATTTTTCTCCTCTCGTTCTTTTCTCTTCTCTCGCAGAGATGCTCCTCTTGCCGATCACAAGTCTTTGCGAAGGCTGAAGACGAAACAACTCGCGGCGCGCAAAAAACGACGCGACGCAGAACGGATAGACAATCTCGAACCCGGGCCGTCATGCATCGCCCCGAAGCGAATGTCACGCAGGATGGAAAACGGCAATACCCGCGAACTCACGGGCGCACATGACGCTGAGCGAGGACCAGGCCAGCTCTACAATGTGGAGGAGGGGGAGGAGGTCAACCCTGAGCGGAGGGGCACGTTTGGCAGGCCCTTACTGATGGGCTCGACAAGCGACGACGATGCGCGGGACGAGGACGTCGAGTACGACGCGCCGGCGGGATATGGCAACCTCGACGAGCTCGTTGCGGACCCCGTGGGCCACAGTCCGTCGGGAAACCGCGCCGGCAAGCCCAGTCTCGAGCAGATACGGAGCGGAGAGCGGCGGACGAACGACATTGAGATGCAAGATGGCCACGCAGCGCCAAATGGGTCGGTTGAGACCTCACCGACGCTGTCGGAGGACAAGCCCGTCAAGAAGCACGTTTCCAAGCTCGCCACGGAGATCTACACCGTCTCGTACCTCGTCTTCTTCGCCATTCTCGGCACGCTCGCACGGCTTGGGCTGCAGGCGCTGACGACGTATCCCGATGCGCCGGTGTCCTTTGGCGTCCTCTGGGCCAACGTCGGCGGAAGCCTCGTCATGGGATTCTTGGCCGAGGACCGCAAGCTGTTCCGCCACGAGTGGGGCACGCCCACCTACGACGAGCAGATCCGCAAAGCGCGCCGGGAGAGGGATGCTGGGGGGAACGCCGTGTCGGTGGATCTCGCCGCTGCGAAGAAGGCGCATCTGGCGACGAAAAAGACGATTCCGCTGTACATCGGCCTCGCGACGGGGTTCTGCGGGTCGTTCACTTCCTTTTCGTCCTTCATCCGGGACGTGTTCCTCGCCATGAGCAACGATCTGCCCGGCGCCGGTGGCGTGAGCCCCGTGCCGAGGAACGGCGGGTACTCCTTCATGGCCATGATGGCTGTGATCATCAGCACCGTCGGGCTATCACTATGCGGGCTGTTCGTGGGCGCCCATCTCGGCGCCGCGCTGGAGCCGATCACCCCTTCGATTCCATACTCGCTCGGCCGCAAGGTCTTTGACCGCGTCGCCGTGGTCCTGGGCTGGGGATGCTGGATCGGCGCCGTGCTGATGTCCATCTGGCCCCCTCACGACGCCTGGCGCGGGCAGGCGCTGTTCTCTCTCGTCTTTGCGCCGTTGGGGTGCTTGGGGCGGTTCTATGTCAGCATGCTGCTCAACTCGCGCATCCCCGCGTTCCCGCTCGGGACGTTCGCGGTCAACATCAGCGGCGTCGCCGTGCTTGGCATGTGCTGGGATCTCGGGCATGCAGAGCTCGGGGGCCTGGTGGGATGTCAGGTGTTGCAGGGCATCGAGGACGGGTTCTGCGGGTGTCTGACCACCGTGTCGACGTGGGTCGCTGAGCTCTCGGCGTTGAGGAGACGGCATGCGTACATCTACGGCATGACGAGCGTCGTTGCGGGCTTTGCGATCATGGTGATTATCATGGGGGGCATGAGGTGGTCGGATGGGTTTGGGCCGTTGATATGTACCCACTGACGGGCCCGATTCCGGCAATACTGCACTTGCTATACTGGAGAATTAGATTGGTATAGACCTGCTGAGCGAACCTAGACTCGATACCAATGCTTAGAATCCGTTACAACCATCACGCCTTGTTGACGTGTCGCAGCGCATCAACCAGCTCGACCTTGCCCCAAACCGTATCCTCATCCCCGCCAAACTTGCCTTCCATAATCCCGCCCGGCAGCCCAGCAGTCGTGAACTCCACCATCTGAGACACCAGACCCACGGGGATGCCCTCCTGCGCGTAGAATCCCGCCAGTTGGTCCACCTCGATCGCCACGATACCAACCTTCTTGCCGGTGATCTCCTCGACCGCGTCTCGGACGTCCTCCGTGCTGTAGTGCCGAGGTCCATACAGCTCGAAGGCGTGAGTGCGCCGGGGCAAAGGGTTTGCGAGGTCGAACAGGATGCGAGCGCAGGTTTCGCGGATGTCGATGAGGCTCACCTGTGACACAGTCAACATCAGCTGGTGGGAGCTGAATAAGAGATTACCATCGGAACTCTATGGCCGACCGGAGTCATGGGTGAGTACAGCACGGGCGGCTCAGCCTTGGCCGTCTCAAACGCCGCAGCCCAGTTTTCCGCGAAGTAGCCAGGCCTGACGATGGCTACCTCCGGCGCGGTGGTCTGGAGGATCTTGTCGGAGATGTGGTTGATCTTGAGGATGCCCTGAACGCGCCGTCAGTCAAATCTCACTCGCAAATTCTTCAAAGTTTGAGATGCTCACAATACCGTGGTCGTTCTCTGCCCCCAAGGCTGAGAACACCAAAAGCCTCTTAACCGAGCCCGCTTTCTCAATGGCATCTTTGATGTTGTTGGCTGCATTAGTAGCGAACTCGACCAGGTCGACATCGCCAGAGTGAAATGGAGGCGGAGGGATGTAGAACACGGCGTCTGAACCGGTGAAGTCCAGGGGGCTGGCGGACACGTCGCCTTGGACTGCGGTGAAGTTCGGGCTGGCGGTGAACTCGGGAGGTGCCTTGGTCGGGTCGCGATAGATCCCACGAACAATGGAATTGGAGCCGTCATTGAGGAGGGTCCTGACGGTTTCCCGTCCGGCCTGAGTCGATGCGGGGACAACGGTGATGGTGTAAGTCATGGTGGATTTGATATTGAGAAGCTTTTGTTGGGTACGTTTTCTCGTTTGATCTGAATTTTAAACATCGTAAACGCCACATAACTTATATACACCAGATTTCTCGTCATGAAGACATGCAGATGTCTCTGTGTAAGCCCCGGGCCCCGCGGCTTGCGAAGTCCGCCGCGGTGGTCGCGCCGGGACTCAAACTCCGCTGCTTGGCCCCACTCGGGATTGCTCCGGCTCCGCGAAGGCAGCTCAAGTTTGACCGTCGGTCTGCGCCAGTTCGTCCGAGTGGCCGCTTCATGCGTCGGTCCGGGTCGCATCGAGTTCCGGAGTGCATTGCAGATGGTGTCCCCCCAAGTCGTGCTCCAGCCACATTCCGTCGAGACACTCCAACTATTAAAGCAGGGCACGTCCAAAACGTCAAGTATGCACCCGAGACATCATACCGAAGTTCCAAGATACCTTGAGATGTAATGTTTTGCCGACTGATGGGACCCTCTACCACGAGATGCTTTGCACGGAAGAGACCACGCCGCAGAACCATCTTTCTCACAAACTGCTTGAAAAGGTTCAACCTCTCGCTCGTGATCCAATTTTGACTATTCGCGTTCAAATTCTCCGCACCATGTTGGCCACTACGTTATCGTCTCTATCGTCTCGTTGCTGCTGTCGCCTCTTCTGCTGTTGTTGCCATTTCGACTGTCGCTGCCAGCTCTGCTGCTGTCATCCACTGTGGTCGTCTGCTATTGTCGTCTAATGTGGTAGGGGGCTGTGCATCAGGACGTCTAAGATCACGATCGAGTATCGGATTGACTGATTGGGTGATTGTCGAAGGAGGCTGTGTTGTCGCTCCAATGCTTGTTCGGCAGTCGAACGATGTCGTCGTTCGCTGAGCGATATGAAGGCAATTCAATGTCTTGGCAAATGCTGTGCTCTTGGCAAGCCGGGCGAGGGCGAGATGGCTGCTTCATATGCTTCTGGCGTCCCTTGGCATTTAGCAAAATGGCGCAAAACCCCAGAGTATTTGAGAAGCTGCCATCCAACCGTTCGAGCACATGGCAATTTGTTTTTTTCTATGCGTCGTGTCGTCGTCTTCGTCGCCATCGTCGCCATCGTCGCCTCTGCTGTCGTCGTCGGCTACTATCGCCGCCAACTATCATCGTCTGCCTTCATCGTCTTCTTTTCTGAAGAAGAGCCATGAATGCAACCAATAAGCAAGCCCCAATAAAAACACTTTATCTATGTTGGTTGATCCCAAGGCTCCTCAAGTTGCGCCACCAGCAACCTTGTGAGGCAGCTTCACACGAGTTCTCTGAGCACGACGCACGTTGCCGAAGCGAAACTTTCGAGTGGCTCACCGGGTTCTCAACAATCTTGCTCTTTCCATGATCAGCATCCGTCAAACCTTGGGACGAAGAGGCCACCCGATTCTTGGCAACGTGAGGGGATGTATGATGGTGAGTCTTGGCCAAGTGCGGATGCCAAGAAAACATGAGGGATGAACACTACTGACCAGCGAGTAGATGAACATTGAGCAATACCGACCGTTGTGATTTCGATATACCAGAAATGGAGACGTTCGGATCAGCGTCACGTCAGCTTTGTCATGCGGGAAACACCCAACTACCCTGCTGATTTCCAAAGAAGCTGGGAATAAGAATGCGACATATCCTTTCTGCTTCTCATCCTCTTCGCAGCCCTTAACAATCAGCACATGGCGAAGAGCCCCCATCGAAATTCCTCGGTCTGTTAACATTCGTCACTGTTACCAGTCGTCACCATCGTCCTCGTCACTGTCGCCCTCGACCGTCCTCGCCGCCATTGCCCACCATGGTCTTCAACGGGTTTCGCGACAGGCTCCGGTCCTTTTCGCCCCAAGAGCGCAAGGCGATCTTCTTCTACATATGCGGTATCATGCTCTATAAATTCGGCTTAGAGGCGTTCAACGGATCAATCACTGCCCTGGTCACCAACAGATATGATTACGAGAGCACTACTGCCGGAACCCCGTCGCGAACGTTCGAGCGACTGGGCCTGATCCAAGGACTGAACCAGGCCACGCAGTGCGTCGGGTCTATCCTCATTGGACCCCTAATCAAGCACTACAAAACCAAAAACGTGCTTTCCGCAGCCATCCTGCTGTTTGGGCTGATGACAGCCATCCTCCTCATCCTCGACGCTGCCACTGGCGGAACCTTCATCCCTTCAGAATATCGAAAGAACCACCCAGAAGATTATTGGCCATACTACGGCAACTACCCCAACGACACCATAATCCCCATCTACGCCATCGCAGGCATCACCTACGGCATGGTCGAGCTCATCCGCCGCGTCATCCCGCGAGACATCGTCGGCGGCAACGTCCAGAAGCTCCGCCAGATGGACGCCATGGTGCACATATTCTACGAAGTCGCAGGCACCACCGGCGCCTTTGTGACTGCCCTGGTGTTGATCCCGAACCTGGGCAACAACCGCTCCTTCGTCATCACGCCAATCTGCTTCGCCCTCGCTGCCATTCTCTGGTTCTTTGTCGTCGACGCCAGCGCGGAGCGTAACGCACTCGCACGCGCGGAAGCTCAGAGCTCCAACTACTTCGTCGCCGTGGGCAAGGGCTTCCTCACCTTCTTCGAGTCCATCTGGGTCGGCGCGAAGATTATTTTCAGCTCCCGCCGTTTTGTGTGGCTCTTGCCTGCTTACGGTGTCGCGCTGTACGCCCACAGATATCTTGAGAACGGCATCGCGCCGCAGGTCGCCCGACGATACCTCGACGAATCGGCTTGGTCGCAGATCATGGTCGGTGGATCGAACTTCGGAGAGCTACTGGGTGCGCTGTTCGTATTTTTATTCACCAACGTGATCAAGACTCCCATCCCATGGCTCCGGCTGGACGCTCTGCTCCTGCTTATTGTCTGGTACATCCCCTACTGGAATCCTCCTCCCAGACAAGTCGGACAAGCATGGATCATTGCCGCCACGTTCCTCCCCATTAGCTTCGGTTGGGCTGCTGGCGACGTGTCTCTTGCCGCGTACATCCAGGCCTCACTGGCTCGCCTTGAGAACAAGGAGCACAACGTATCGCCCTTGGCAGCTGTCATGGCATTCCTTTATTCATTTTACGTCGTGTCTTACGCCATTTCCAGCACCTTCCTAGGACGATATATCGACGCAATGTACAACAGGTTGGGGGAAGTCAACACAGCCCTGACTTACACTGCCGGCGTGCAGTTCACTGTAATTTTCTGCATCGTCCTGCTCGCCACGTTCATCCCGAAGGGCTCCAGGGCGATTAATCCAGAGATGCTGGACGACACGAAGCTGGACGACGAGGAGCTTGGGGGAGACGGAACTGAAACTGTTGGCGGGAAGGATATTTCAAAGGAGGCTGTGTTGGATTCGAAGAACCCTGCAATCGTGATGTGAACTTGAGGGTTTGAGAAGGGTCGGTGGCAGCCCACACTGCAATGTCTCATTCGTTGGTTATAGAGTAGGCCAATGTCATTGTTAGCACTGTGCTTTCTGCCGTTTCATTGAGCGTTGCTACTCTGGCGGATGGTGACGATATATCATGGCGACGATAGCAGAGAAGACGACGATACCAGATAACCACCGAAGACGGCAACAACAGGCGGACCCCAGATTGCAACTAATTTCAACATCAGGACCGCAAACGCCGAAAACGAAAGGGGTATGCCGAGAATCTCCAGCTATTGAAACTTTCTGGCGAGCAAAACTCCTCGGTAATGATTGAAGTGCGATATCGACGGCCCCGAAGCTACTGGGCATCTGCGGCGAAGAACTTGGTGATTTCACACGCATTTTCCCTCCTAAGTTTGGAAGAAGGTAGAGGATTGGTTTGCTACCACAGCAATTTCCATTTATCCTTCTTGCGTAGACGAGATCCCGAGTAATACAACAGCATTTTCCCTCAGACCATCGTCCTCCACTGTCGCATAGTTTCCTCATGCCAAAGACCTGCCAAACACTCCAATATCATAACCTTCGCATTCCAGCACTCTCAACTTCTAATTACAGGCCATGATCCATCAAGGCGCCACGAGCATTCGAAGTCTCGACCGGCGTCTCTGTGTAGCCGTGCGGGGCGTGTAGCGCAGACCGAGCTGGTTGAGGTAGACAAGGAGGTCGTCCTTTGTCTTGACGTGCTCAGGGAGGCTGAAGTTGCTTCGGCGGCGCGCAACCGCATTGTCGGACTCCTCATTCTTGATGAGTAGGTCGCCGCGTCTTCTCATCTCCTGCTTCACGGCGCGATACAGGGTGGCTCGCTCCTTCATCTCATTTGTCTTCCAACGAAGGGGCTGACTGACCCCGGATGAGCCTTCATCGTCTGCATCAGCATCGTACTCCGCGTCCTCCTGCTCTTGGCGCGCAGCCATCCACCACTCCTCTTGCGACGTTAAGCCCCGGCGGCGCTCGCGCTCCTAGCGCCGGCGCTGGGATTGCTCATCGCGATGGTAACGCTTCTCTTTAAGGAACTTTGCCCAAGCCTCGGTCGCGGAGGTGAGAGTGTTCTGGTAGTCTCTGAAAAGGATTGCTGTGGGGTGAGAGGCCGGAAAGGAAGCTGTCGGAGTGGGGAAGGCGACGAAGTTGTGGAAGAGGGCGAGACGGATTTCGTGGATGCGCAGGTTGAGGGTTCCTCGGATCATGGCCAGTTCGATCTCTCGGGAGGACTGCAAAGAAAAACAATATCAGCAATTAGATCGAATTGTGGGCGAGTAGTCAAATGGCGTGCCACGGAAAGGAGGGAGAGAAGAGAGAAAGTGAGGCCAAAGGAGAAAATCCAACGCACCGCATTGTCAGAAACCTTGTATCCCTCCTTTTGATACGACCGTTGGAAAAATTCGATTTGACAATGAAGGGCGACGGCGTCGTCGTACGTGAAAGGCTCGGCATCGACCGCGGCTTTGTTGGCAGGGCTCGAAAGGCGCTGATCCGACGAAGGAGCTGGGAGAACAAGAGCCTCAACGGGTTTGAGGAGGTTGGCATCCCCCATCTTGACCTCAAGCAGAGACAGCAAGGTTTGGAGAGAAATGGTGTTGGTTGCTTGCGTCCCTCGCTGGCCGTCGACCGTTGTTGTGGCTGAAGAAGGCGCTCCTGGCCGGTGGTGGGAAGGAAGTCATTTTGCCCCACTGGTTCCCTCCAATGGAATGCAGAAGCCTTCGCACCATGAGCTCACATCAGTGTACCGGGCAGCCATGTGACTGCAGTGTCAACATTGTGGTCATAGTATGTGGGGTCACCGTTGCGGCCACACCTTCTTGAATTCTATTTGCGATATATGAAGGCCATGGTGGACCTAGAAAACTCTGTAGTGAAACCTTTATGGCTAAAGCATAAGTATATGAAGGGGGTGCGAGTCGCCAGGGGCGGCGTTTTTCCCCCCGTAACACCACAACCAATTTTCCCTCTCTCTAACGTAACGATGGCGAGACTCAACCTATTCAACCGTTCCAAGAGCGGTTCCAAGAGCGGTTTCAAGGGCGGTGTCAAGGGCGGTGTCAAGAGCGTTCCCAGACTCAGCACATTCGCCCGGTCGAAGGAGGCTTTTATCCACATGTTTGTTCGTAAGCATGCAAACTGGTACGTCACATTAGACGAAATCATTCACCTCGACCTCTAGCTCCCACCCCCTGTCATTTTCTTCCCACTGGGCTTCCTAGCCACATGAGCCGGAAGGGCATCTGTCTGCATCTTATACAAACAACAGAGCTTCTGTCTTGTCCGATATGGCTCTCAGTAAACGTACAAACGGCACTGGCTTCTATACTTTCTGCTTTGCTGACTTTTCAAAACCCCAGCGCCCTACGGCCACGTGAGCAGCCTACCTACGACGCGGTTTCCCCGGCCTACGCGGATCTTCCCCCCTACACCGTAAGTAATGATACAGTTTTGCCGCCCCGTCCCTTTGCTAACGCACCTGAAGGCCGTGGAGAGCAAGAAGGCCGAAGTCGTGACGGAGTTCGCTTTGCGCACGGCACGTGCCAAGCACCAGTTCTCCAACGACAGAGCCCAGATGTGGCAAGAGCTCATTGCGCGAGTCGCTAAGGAAATTTTCGATGATTTGGAGTTGCTCCAGCAGAGTGCGGCTACCAATGGCTGGGAAGCTGCCGTTGAGCGTACGGGAGCTCTCTTGGCTGACAAGCCTTTTGGAGAAGAGAATCTGATCGAGGAAGTTGAGGCGATCATGCGCTACTTGGAGACCATGCGATATGGTGCGAGCAAGGAGTGGAGGGGGGCTTCCGTAAAAGCACCTCAAACAGGTTAGGCGATGACCAGATCCTTATCGCAGATGGGAACGCCATAGAAGCGCAGCGGCAGCACCAGAGCTCTTTGACAGTTAGCCAGGCAATATCACAGCTCCACTCGGCAGCACTACCACCTACCTGCCTTCCCGATCCAGCTTTCTCCCTACTAAAGAAACTTTCGTCCCATCCCTTTCAACCAGTTCAACAGCGACGGCGTGACCCAGTTGGTAATCATCTAGCTTCAAACAAATTCCTCGGGTGGGTTTCTGGTTATCCTGGAGGGGCGCTAAGTTCGAATCTCGTCACGCGATTTTCTTACAAGAAAAGGGCCTAGAGGTGGGGACGCGAGTCCCATCTTTTGCTTTTGCTGCTCTATGAAGTTTGAAGTTTTATTTTACTTTTTGCCCTTGCGTGGAGCTGTTTTCTCATGAAACTAAATCGATGTGATGGCTGAAAGTAACGAAAGCGTGTTGATGTAGCTGTTTATTATATGGATGGAATGTTTTGGAAATACTGGTGCACTTTTTTGGTTGTCCACTTAAGGCTCACTGGTCACATTCACCTTTATCTCTGAGGGAAAGGAAGGAGAGGCCAAGTCCGGGCGCATGAGACTTTCTATCTTTGGCCATACTCCCACTACAACTGCTTGCTGTTTGCAGAATTCCAGGCTTCACTTGGGTTGCTGCCATTTCGAATCTCGCACCTCGACTGCGACAGCCCACCCAGCCTTTTGCCAATACACCGCAGCAACAGAAGGCCAATCTTCCTTCTTTCACAAGCGCATTACGACTGAGCTTGCTTCTTCCATAGGTACTTGACTCAAGGTAATGACCACCATCTTGTCACTTGCCTCTTCTACTGCTGAATTTACTTTTACCGCAGCACTACTCAAGATGCAGGAGCACTTCACGCAGCAAGAGGCCGACTTGTCGCCCATGGCCCAGAAGAATGCAGCAGAGAAGCTCTCCGGAGCTATGATGGTGAGTGCATTTACTCCAGTCAGCTGGAAGACAGTTCTATGGACCCGAGTATTATTGATACTAACTTGCCTATCTCGTAGTCGCTCGACGTTGGCGGCAATGGCACAGCCAACCAGGCATTCAAGTCATCGCCTGCTTCTGACGCCATGACTCTTGAGCACGAGCTCAACACCGCTACCAAGGACAGCGCCTCTGTCGACAAGGACTCTGACTGTCAGCGCAACACGGGCAAGTCCGCTAAGGAGAAGCTCGTCGACGAGGAGCGCAGCAAGAAAAAGCGTGCCATGAAAAAGCTCGAGAACAAAGGTGTCTGTATGGAGTCCATTGGCAAGGAAGACGACAAAGACGTTGACGGCGACAACGCTGACGGCAATTGTACCCTGGAAGAGCTGTTGGAGGAAGTTGATGGGCTTCTGGAGGATTTTCTTTACTTGAAGACACAAGATCGGATGACGCTGTCAGTCCACCCTGTCATGCGGGCTGCCCTCATGGAGGAAGAAGCAGCAAGAAGAGAGGAGGAACACAAGGACTGGAATATCAGACGCGTCTCCTTCCTCGCTCGCTGTGAGGCGTTCATCATCAGCAAGAGTAATATCACCCAGGAGGACAGCACCAAGGAGAACAAGGCTATTGATCTCCTGAAGGAGTATCTTCCCCTCAAAATCGCCGTCCTCTAGGAATTTGGCAGTACGTTCCGGATTGGCATATTTGCAAGGGAATTTCCGCGAAAGCTTGAGAGACTGCTAGGCAGGGGTAGATGATCAGCCTGGCACAATCGAAATGGAGTAGCATCCCATCATGCAGCATCAAATCATTGCTAGTTCTTCTCGCAGTGTTCCTTCCATTGCTGACCACTTGAGCGCCTCTTCTCAGTAAAGACACCAGAGACGCCAGGCGCCATCTGGCGACTTCTAGCTCTCAATCCCTTTTTTACAGGAAGGGTCCTTCTCTGAGCGGGCCACAAGCGGCACATTGGGTCAGGCGGCCGATTGATAACTGTACCTACCAAATCCGAAGCAACTCGCGATTGCCAACTTTCATCCCTTGACGTCCGTGCCTCTCTTCCTGGCGTTCCTGGCGTCCCTGTCGTTCCTGTCGTTCTGGGCATCGTTGGCATCCTTCCTTCCTTTGCCAAAATTCTCCAACCCACCATAAATGCTCCTAACCGTCTTTCAACCTCCCGACTGGAATCGCCGTCGTTTGTACCACATCTCTCTATTCATCAACATCACCAGAAGCATCGCCAGCACGCGCGAAGGATTTCCACGTTGCATCAATACGCACTTCAAGTAATCAAGCAAGTTTCGCCTGCTTCATCTCCACGCACGTTGCTAACAGGACCCCAGTCAAAATGAAGCAAGCTCCCGTGACTGCCGCACCCAACAGCTCCCGGAAGAGAGCGGGATCTCTGTCCTACTTCGAGATACCCCACAAGCGCCAGAAGCTCTAGCAAAGTGGTACCGGCGAGGAGGAAGATCATCTCGTCAGAGTCGGGTGCTGCAAGAAGTCTCTTTCCGACAGCGAGACGTCCCAGAGGCGCTGGAGGCGAATCTACCCAGTCGGGAAGAGACGAACGCCTCTCGCCTCTGAGGCCAACAGCGCGCCAGCGCAGCATCCAACGTCTCTCAACGAAGATTCTGATGAGGAGAGTTTGAGTTTGCTTCAAAAATGGCACGAAGTTTTCGAAATGCAGCACAATGCTTCTATCCCCGCTGTTGCCGCTGCTGCACGATCTGCTGCACGATCTGCTGCTTCACCAATGAACATCTCCGACACCGACGGGAATTCGACCGATGATGACCGGGACTCGCATGAGGACGATTTGATACCGTTGCGCTATCGTAGCGGACGAGGTGTATGCGGCTCAATGTATAACTATGGTCTCAAACCATGGTACGATCTTGTGACTGAAACCCAGCTCAGCGAAAGAATGGAGAGATTGAATTTGGGGCGCGGTTCTTGGCCAACTTTAAGGTCATCCGGCGCAAGCAGTCGCTCAAAAAGAGCAGGCTCGAATCGTTTTTGAGAGAACTATCATTGATTGGAGGGTCCCATTGGAACTAGATTGATAATCAAGAGCCTGGAGCGGCGACTTCCGCCTTGCATTATAATGGATCAAGAGGTGGACTTGGCTGGAAGCGAGAAATGGATACGTTCACTGTTAGTAATAGCGACTTTGAGGTTCAATAAGATTTGAGAGACGTACAGACTTTATTTCTGTGCTGTGGCGAGATTTTCCCGAAGCTGGAACCGCTCTCAAGGTAGCAAATGTCGAAATTTGATGTGGTATGGTGAAGATGACTTGAATATCTTGTTGGAGGAACGAAAGTAATGGTTTTGATGCGAGGTGGGGGGAGAGCTGACCCTGGAAACTTGTGCTCTCTCCATACACCCTGAGGTTCAGCTGAAGAGGTCTCTCTGAACTATCCTGGGCATTGTTGTTTCCATCAGGTCAGGGTCATCAAGCCACCCAATGTGGCCGCAGGCGGCAGCATGCTCGAAAGCATGAATAAAAGGTCAAATTTAGGGGGGTAAAGGAAGATTGTTCTTTATTAATGCCAGGCTAGGATGTTTGTGTACCTCAAAAACCATGTCATCAACCCACAAAGCCAGTCCTTTCACGGTTGTCTTTCAAAGCTCACTGGCCATTCTTCTCCGGCATTCTAGAACGGACATGCTCAATCTTTGCAGTAATATCCTCAAGAGCCAAGAACGCGTCCATTTGCAGAGAAAGGGCATCATACATGGGGTTCTCGCGGTCCAAGGCCTGGGTGGGCAAGGTCAGCATCTCCCGTTAGAATCATGGGGTACGGCCGATCTCACCAGCTTCAGTGTACCGGGGTAGGCCGGTACTTTGCTTCTCTTACGCATGCCACCGGCGTCGAAGATTATACCCTTGCTGGACGCCATGAGCTCGTTGATACTGTCGCCAATCTGGCGGGCCTCAGGCCAGCTCAGCTGGGAAGAGCGCAGGGCGTTGAAGCGAGTCGAGATGCGGGTGAGTTGGGCCTGGAGCTTGGCTTCGTCCTCGAGGCGTTTGATGAACTCGTTCATATCCTGACGGTTGGTTAGTAATCTGACGATATCAGCTGAGTTGGGATTGAATCAGTGACCTTACCTTCTCGCCGCCCATGATGACGCGCAGCTTCCGGCCCTTGTCGTCGACGGACACCCTCTCTTTCACGAGCTCGGACATGCGGAGGTTGGTGGAGAGCTTGCTGACGGCGCTGTAGTTCGTGACATCGAGGGTGGTCTTCTCGGGGGCGGACTCGGTGTCGGTGTCGGTGCCTTCTGGGGAGAACGATGAGGCGTTGGTGGGGACGAGGCTGCGGTTCTTTTGCTTCTTGAGGCGGTCGCGCTGGTTTTTGCCCATGTTCTTCTTCTTGGAAGCCATTCTGGTTGAGGGATGGGATGAGGCTCGGATGGATAAAATGCAATCACGGGTGGGATGAGAGGCGACGAGTTGACGCGTTGGGAGGAGGTAAGAATGCTGTGGATGACCTCCGTTTGCGTGGATGGAGCGGTGGTTGGTGACGACGACTGCTATATGAGGGCCCGGTGCTGGATCAGGCAGCCGCAGTGTTTATCCCAGGTCTTGCTGCTACCAGAACACACGCGACGGTATGGCTGAAATCAACGGAGTGAGAATGTCCTTGTCGTTTTGAAAGACAGCTGGCCCCTTTTAGTTCTCATTCTTGCTAAAGCTCAAGGGGCGCGTTTGCTGCTGTGGCGACGTCGGGTCGGAACCGGCTCCGTTTGTCGACGCAGGTAGCTGCATGACTGCCTGGGTAAGCACTTCTCGGCGCGATCTTGATCGAAAGGATGTGAATTTGTCTTATTTCAGGGATAGAGAGCTAGTCTGTCGTAGAATTTCTATCATCTCCGGGAATCAATGTAGGCACATCACGTAGTAATTACTGATAAAAACATTTACGTGGTAATCATTGTTGTTCACTCAGAAGAATCCACCGTTGCAATGCCTCACTCATTCTGTCATCCATTTCCGAGGTCGGAGCGGTTCCCTTCTTCTTGAAATCAATCCGAGCCCTCAGCACGTCGCATATGGCCTTGAGATCGTCGCGTTCCTTCTGCAAGCGTTCAAGCTCCTCCGTCAAGGATTTGATCTTGCTCTGGTTGAGTTCCTTTACAGTGCGCGTGTCGGGGGCCTGCCACTCAAGTCAGCAAAGAAATACAGGCTGAGCAAGTCCGCATCTGATGTGCCCTGATCAGGACGCCTCTCGTCCGTGCTGCGGTCGTCCTTGGACCACAATGAACGTGGTCCAGCGCCGCGAGACAGCTCCGGGATAGCACCGCCGCGTTGTAATACCCGAGCATCGCCAGCTTGCGACTACGACGATTGGGGCTACAGTGATTTCACCGGAACGTAAGGTAGCGGAGCTTTCCTGTGGTAGCGAGAGATGTGTCGCAGAAGGCCTCAACGCGTCCCAGCCCAGTGCAGCAGAGACCTATAGCTCCCCCACATTGCGACGAGTTGGTACGGACTTGAAGCAGAGAAAGGCAGTCGGAGTTGGATGAAAAATGGGCTTACCGTCTCGGTGACTGAGGAGACTTTGGTATTGTCGCTGTCGCTGGCGGGTTGGTCCGGAGTGTCCATCTACAATGAAGGTGCGTCAGTATTATTGAGGATGATTGCAATGGACTTCAGAAACAGCCCAGGTCAGGCGGGGTTTGAGGAAGGGAAGTCTGTATGTAAGCAGAAGAGGATGGCCTTGAAGAGCCGATAAAAGGGAAGAGAGAGTGGCCTTGAAGAAATGGTAGCTCTTGGAGGAGGACGGCAAGAGAAAAAATGAGAAGGAGGATGCTGGATCAGAGGGAAGGGATGGGAGACAGACGGAAAAGTCGAGCGAGCAAGGTAAATCGCTTACTGTTGCAAATATCGTGATGCGATCAGAGCTAGTATTCTTATTTCCCACTGTAAACAAGCTGCGGGGGCTTTGGAGATATGAGGAGACTTTAGATACCTTGAGGTGGAAAGTCGCCGTCGCGGTCGAAAGAAGCAGGCCACGTTTGAAGAAAAGGTAGGGCTGCGAAGTTAATGGCGGCAAAAGCCCAAAAGGGTCAACCAGTTGCTGTGGCAGAGTTCAGCCACTGGAGATAACCATTCTCAGAGCCAGTGGTCTGGGCCGTTACTCCTGCAGCGGGCGGTGTCCCATTGGGGCGTCTCGCGCAAGTGTGTCCTTCTCAACTTCCACCCCGTGACGTCAAAACAACAACATCTCTCATTGACAGGTGTGTTTACTAGGCTCGGAGGGCTTTGAGTGCAGTTGAAGATTCATCCTTTGGTAGGGAAGCACTTTGCTGGAAGTCCGATGCCAGCATCCTCTCATCGGGACAGATATTTTCCCGCCTCAGACCTAACCTGGCCACTCTCGTCCTTTCTACCTACTTGAACCGTTGATGTTGATTTTATTTCGTCTGCTGCCATGTTTCTGTTCATTATCAGGCTATTCAATTGTTTTGCTTTTTTCCACCTTACCCTTGTTTGTTGACAAAGCCCTTGTGCCTGGTCCGTCGAAATTTCTCCATTGCTTTCACTCTCGTCTCAAGAAATCTGCACCGCGCAAAAGTTTTCACCCATCTTCTTCCCGTCTCTCCTTCCTTCCATCTAAGAAAAGGTGCGGCGAGCGCCTCGCCAACCTGAGCGCAGGGCCAGCTTCACCCCAAGTCCCACTTTTTATTTTCTATTTAATCCCTTCGCCCACCCCGTTCGCGATTCTTCTTCCTCCACAACTCCCCCTCCTGTCTTCGCCGACTTTCACATTTCTTTTTTTTTTCCCGACCTCTTCCCACTTTCACCTTTTTTCATCTTGCACCACAGAACCCCTCTTCGTCTGCCCGCTCTTTCACAGCTACCCCGTCTCGACTCCTCCCTACGGACTTCTCTCTCATCCGCACGCCGCATCCAGCTAGGATGGCTTTTTTTACAAGGTAAGTCTATTTCATCCACATTTCTTTGCTTTCTTGGCTTCGAGCTCGCCTGTGCGACCGCGATCCGGCGAAAACGTCGTGTGCCAAGTCGGAGTTTTCAGACAGCGTCTGGGACGAGATCTTCTCGCTTGTCCCAGACCAGTTCTCTTTCTCTGGTATCGACACGACACCTCTCGTGACCTTGGTTCTTCGAGCCCAGCGGGAACGAGAGGCTGCCTTTCGCGGTGGGCTTTTCCCCCAGAATTGACGACTCCATCTTGGCGCCTCCACGGTGCTAGGAAGGGGAAGTCGCGCCTCGTCCATAGCGGGTTGGCACCTGTGACGGATGCGAACTTCAGAGAACACGCCGATGGTTTTACCGGGGAGGGTACTTGGCCGGGTTAAATTCCCTGGCCGTTCTGGGGGACGCGAGCAAGCAGCCGCCTCAAGCATAGCATTTGCAGACTCACTCAGTTGTGTTCGCTCAACTGACTGGATGAAGACAGGTTTCATTTTCGCATCAGACTTTCAGCAGAGACTTCACGACATGGGCGTTTTCGGGTTGGGCTACAAGTGTTCAAATGGAGTGAGATGGGGTGGACTAGACAGATTCGTGCGGTTGTAGCCAATTGATATTCTCTTCGGTCTAATTCGTCGTCTCTGCAAACGTGATGCATCGACCATTCCAGAGTTTTCGCGTTTCGGTGTACTCAATGGGCTCGAGAGAGTGATCAGATACGGAACGATGGAAGAGGGCAGTGACGAAACCCAACAACGACAACGAAAGCAACGACAGAAGGGACGACAGCCTATCTCAAAAGAGCTCACGAGAAGGAAAATCATTCTGGCATCGGAAAATCGGTGGTCTCAGTACCTTTGTTTGCGAGTCCATGGTGTAGTCAGTGAAGCTTTGCTAGGCTAGGCCAGAAGTGAGACAGCATGAACGGTTTAGGCATCCGAGCGAACGGACTGTATTTTAGTTGCGTTTCTTATGTATCTAGCTGCGTAGAATTTCAACTTGCCTACCCGCCCGTTTTCGTTCCCCGTTCGTTTATTGACTTTTTTTCACCACCACAACACCATCACCAACACCTCAAGATGGGCAAGAACCACCTCGGCAAGAACGCCCGCCTCCGCGCCAAGAAGCGCATGCTTCGGGCAACCCAAGCCCTCCTGAACGGCACCGCCACCACCACCGACGACGATCCCCTCGCCGGCCTCACCAACACCCAGCGCGTCAAGGAAAGTACCATCCTACTCTCTTCTACCTTCCGATCTCAGCTAACACCTACCCCATCAGACCAAAAAGCGCGTTAGACAGGCCACCCAGCAGCGCCTCAACGGCATCAAGATCCGCACCCAAGCCGACGCCGCCGTCATGAAGCACACCATGGACCAGGCCATCGAGGAGAACAAGGACTGGCGCCTGCGCGTCGAGACCGTCAACGCCGGTTTTCAATAGAACCAGAGGGTCGGTCTGAGGCTGGGCCTCGAGAACATGCAGAGAGTCGCGGCGGGCCACAATGCCCTCCAAGACCATGTTAAACGGGAGGGTGTGAAGATGGAGATTGTTGGCGCCAAGATGGAGATGGTCAACCAGGATATGGGAGATCTGCGCCAGAAGATCGTCGAATTGGAGACGCAGCTGCAGCAGGTTCGCGATGATGGCGCCGCCCTTCGAGCTGAGTTCCAGCAGCTCCGCGATTCCGTTGGGCGCGAGGGCGGCAGCCAGCAGGAGGGTGCCAACGAGGAGGGATGGAAGGGGCGCCTGCGCTCTCGCAAGAAGGCTTGAGCGGGCGTCCCCCATATCAATAAAGATCCCATACACACTGCCAAGTTTGTTTCGTTGGTGTCACGGGCTAGAGCCCGGATTGATATCTCCGGCTTCGCCGGAGCAGTTACCGAGATCCGGCTCCGTTGGACCCACTATTCTGCCGCAGTACGCCGCCTAACCCGGCCTGCTTCACCGCTGTTAGGCGCCTACCCTTGTAAAGTCCT